AACTGCCTGTGGGAACCAGGATTCCGTGGAGGGCTGGCCTTTGAAGACACTGATCTGGGATGGATTTGAGAGAGAAATTGGGTTTCTTGTTTGTTTTTGAGACAGACTGGCCTCAACTTCACTATGCAGAGTGAGAATGACCTTGAATTCCTGAGATCCTCCTGCCTGCACCTCCCAAGTGCTGAGATTACAAGGATGTGCCATTCTGCCCGGCATGGTGGGTTGTTTGTTTGTTTGTTTGTTTGTTACAGAAAGTCGTAGGGTCATGGAAAGAATTGGAAGCTGGAGGTAATTTGGGGAAACAATTGATAAATGGCAGAATGGTGTCCTAAGATGGGAAAAGGGGCAGGCTGAAAGAGGAAGGGTAGTGTGTGGGTGGGAGGGACTATGAAGAGTGTCTAGTGTAGAGCATTGGCCCAGCAAGTCTTCAGCATCACAGTAAAATAATACAAGGCAGGGGAGGAGCTTTGGGGGCTAGAAGAGTAGAGGAATGCTTTTTGTTGTTGTTCTTGTTGTTGTTTTTGTTTTTCGAGACAGGGTTTCTCTGTAGCTTTGGAGCCTGTCCTGGAACTTACTCTGTAGACCAGGCTGGCCTCGAACTCACAGAGATCCACCTGCCTCTGTCTCCTGAGTGCTGGGATTAAAGGCGTGTGCCACCACCGCCCGGCTGGATGAATGGTTTTTTGATGAGAAGAAGTGACATGGAGTACTGAAAACACAAAGACACGGAGAAAGGAGAGCCACTCTGTGATGTGCCCAGCAGCGATGGGGTCTGCTTTTGTGGTGACATCAGTCCATCCTGACAGTTCCTTCTAAGAAACAGCCCTGCCTCCCAGCATCCCCTACCGTGCTTTGATCCCCCCTCCCAGGGGTGACTTTCCACCAACTCCCTACAACCTGTGCTCAGTGTGCTCAGCGTGATCTTCTCGGCAGGCTGAGGGGGCGGGGGGAGCTGCTGGGGTCAGCTGAAGGAAAGGGAGATAGGGAGTTTATTTTAAACCCAAGTGGGCACTGGAGCTGCTAACAAGCAGGCAGCTTTGGAGAGAATGGAGATTGGCGGCCTTGCAGACACTTGTCAGGAGGCCTGGAGGCTGCCCAGCAGACAGAGGGGGTGAGCATCGTGAGAGGGGTGGAGCCCAGTTCACCTGCTGGCCAGTGCTATCAGGACTGGGACCTGAAAGCCAGTGGCCTCCGGAGATAACCCAGACCCAAGCTATGAGGACTGTCTGTGTCCCCTCTCCAAGGGGTACCACTCTATCTGTGGCCAGATGGACCACGTGCATAACTTAGTTCAGGAGTGGAGGACAGCCAGGATCTGTTAGCGGCCCCTAGAGGCTGAAGCTCCCTCCTGGAGGTGCTCTGCCAGCATCCCAGGTAACCAGGCGGCAGTTCACCCTTAGCACTGACTCAGAATGTAGTGTGTGACCTGGTGGAAGGCCATCCCCTGCCTTCTGCATGGAAGACATCATCCGTGGCTTCACAGCCCATCGCCTCACTGAAGGTGGGATTTAAGAGGAATGGACAGATGGAACTCCGGATGGCAAGGACCACGAGGGCCTGATTCAGGGCATGTCACTCAAAACGGACTCTGGATAGCGAGAGCTGAGACCTCTTTTTTAAAAAAAAAAAAGACTGGGATTCTCTGTGTAGCTCTTTTGGAGCCTGTTCTGGATCTTACTCTGTAGACCAGGCTAACTCACAGAGACCCACCTGCCTCTGCCTCCTGAGTGCTGGGATTAAAGGCATTCACCACCACTGCCTGGCTGAGCTGAGACCTCTTAAAGGACCCCAGCACTGTGAAGTGTTTATTTCCCTTGTAATTTACTTTGAACATTGAAGTGCCTAAGGAGCCCAGGCTTGTTAGAACTTCCTGGGTTTGGCTAGATGTTGCCGAGAGTCTTCTGCACCAAGCCCCAGCCAGGCCACTCTGTCTTCTGCTGCCCTGGAAAGGCTGGCAGATCTTATTTCATCACAGAGCACTCTAGGGGCAGGGCAGATTCCGGTCTCTCCCTGCCAGTGAGGTCCTGGCTCTTCTCTTTCTTTTGAAATGGCTTCACTATGTGTCACTCTGTTCTTGAACTTGCCACTTTCCCATCTCAGCCTCCAGCGTGCTTACAGGTGTGAGCCACCACACCTGTCTGTCTCCTGCTTTCTAGCAAGGGTCTCTCAGCCCTCCTCTGTGTCTTCTGCTCCTGCCTGATTTCAAGATTTCTGGGTTTCCATATTGCTCCTTCAGGGTGTCAGTGGCCACAAGAAGGTCACTGGGTACTTGAAACGTGCTTAGTCCAAACTTAGACATGCTTCAAATGTAGAAGATATCTCTGATTTAATGGCTGTGCTGGATAGTTTTATGTCAACTTGACACAAGCTAACGTCCTCTGAGAGGAGAGAACCTCAATTGAGAAAAATGCCTCCTTGAGAGATGGAGCTGTAGGTGGGCCTGTAGGGCGTTTTCTTAATTAGTGATTGATGGAGGAGGACCCAGGCCACTGTGGGTGGTACTGTCCCTGGGTTGGTGGTCCTGGGTTCTATAAGAAAGCAGGCTGAGCAAGCCATGATGAGCAAGCCAGTAAGCAGCACCCCTCCATGGCCTCTGCATCAGCTCCTGCCTCCAGGTTCCTGCCCTGCTTGAGTTCCTGTCCTGACTTCCTTTGTTGATGAACAGTGATGTGGAACCGTAAGCCAAATAAACCCCTTTCTCCCCAACTTTGTTTTTGGTCATGGTGGTTTTTTTTTTTTTTTATAGCAATAGAAACTCTAAGAAAAGCCTTTCTGGTTGTTTTCCTTTTTTTTTTTTTTTTTTTTTTGGTTTTTCGAGACAGGGTTTCTCTGTAGCTTTGCACCTTTCCTAGAACTCACTCTGTAGACCAGGCTGGCCTCGAACTCACAGAGATCCGCCTGCCTCTGCCTCCCGAGTGCTGGGATTAAAGGCGTGTGCCACCACCACCTGGCTCTTTTCTCTTCTTTTTAAAGACTCAAGAAAAGGAATGTAACATCTTGGCACGGAGATATGGCTGAGGGCAGAACATTGGCCTGGAGGCCCTGGGTTGTTATATGTTGAGTTGATTATGTGTTGAAATGAGGATAGTTTGGGTAGATTGGGGTGAATGAAATAGACCATCTTTTCCAGTTTCTTTTAAAATAGGCTGTTAGAAAGTTTTAAAATATGTATGCAGCTTGTCTGTGTGGCCTGAGTCGTATCTTTGGGGATGGGAGGGAGACTGTCCTGGTCTGGACACTAGGATGGGCTATGATGAATGCATGATTCCTCCAGCTCAGCGGTGAGCTCCGTGATGTGATGTGCAGAGGAGCCACCTGACCCCGGCCTCCCGTCCTGACCCCAGCCTCCATCCTGGACCCCATCCTCCGCCCTGAACCCAGCCTCCACCCTGACCCCAGCCTCCACCCTGACCCCCATCCTCCATCCTGACCCCAGCCTCCATCCTGACCCCAGCCTCCATCCTGACCTCATCCTCCATCCTGACCCCATCCTCCATCCGGACCCCAGCCTCCATCCTGACCTCACCCTCCATCCCTGACCCCATCCTCCATCCTGATCCCAACCTCCAACCTGATCTCAGCCTCCATCCTGATCCCAGCCTCCAACCTGATCTCAGCCTCCATCCTGACCCCAGCCTCCAACCTGATCTCAGCCTCCTTCCTTACCTCCTGCACCTGGTGAGGTGGGGCGGGGCACTGTTAGCCAGAGAAGATGTAATTGGGAACCACAGCTGAACTCCATGCCCATGCCTCACCCAGAAACCCTGACTGGGGAGTGCTAACTAACTGAAGGACGCAGATGTAGAGGTAGTGTGGGAGTTGGTCCAAACAAAAGACTTTGTCTTGTCTTGGTTCTTTGAGGCAGGGTCTCACTATGTAGCTCTGGCTGACCTGGAACTCACTGTGTGGAGCAGGTGTGAGCCTGCTTGTTATCCAGAGTGGAGTGCGTGTGCCCTCTGCCTGCCCTGACCATCTGTCTGCCAGCTGCCACGCTCCTCACTACCTTTGGGGCCAGCGATGGGGCACATCAGACGGAACCTGGGAACTGAGAAGGGGTTAAGCAGAGATGGAAGATCTGAGAGACAGGGGCTGTGGAGAAAGTTAAACATAGCATGATCCAGCCCAGAGCAAGGAAGTGGGCAAGCCTCAGCTGTGGTGGGTGACTGATAGGTTTGAGGGTGGCTCGTGTCTCTCTTCAGTGCACTGAATGGGCAGGAGCTGCCATAGGCCTGCAGAGATGCATTGCTTAGATAACCTCTATCCTGGGGTCTGAGATGCCAGAGCGCAGAGGACTGGCAGGGGTCTAGGTTGGATGTGGCCCTACGTCCCACCTCTGCTTATGAACGCAGGTGGTTACAGTCCTGGACCAGTGCCAGTTCCTGCATCCAAGTACCTGGTGCACTTTCTCCCTTCCTTCCCTCTTTATCCACCCCCACCCCCCACCCCCACCCCCGCACCACCCAGCTCCTCCCTCCAGTCTCATCCCTCTCTCACACTGGATTGGCTCTCCAGAGCTCTGCTCTCCACGCCCTTCCCCCAAACTAACTGCCTCCAGAGCAGGAATACAGTAGTAGGTTCCAGGTTCGTACTTGGCCTTTTGGCCAGTGATGGCCCCTTTCAGCCAGTGTCACCCAACCAGGCTCAATGGGACAATGGTGATAGACAAACCACACGGCTTCTCTGGCTTCAGTAATTAGGGAATTAAGTCCCAAAGTCCGTGTGTCCTGGCCCCCTCCTGGGCCCCCCTTCATCTCTCATTTTGCTTGTTGGAAGGCAGAGGAGGGGTAGTGTCATTGTGGGGACAGTGAGGAAGGGTGGAGCTAGCCTCCACCCCATTGCCGATTTCCTCACTGACTGAGGGAAACCACACCCCTTCCTTCTACTTCCCTCACTGTCCTAGGTGCTGGGGTCCTCTGCAGAGGACCTGTCAGATTCCACAGTCTGTGTGGAGAGGATTGATTGACTCAGAACGGTCACTGACAGAGAGGAGAGACACGGGCTGATGTGAGCTCCACGGAAGCCCAGAATGTAATCTTTAATCTTTAATGTGGGCCCCTGGCCCTGCCTTCCCCACCCCAGCCCAGATGACATATTTACAGGATGTGTAGGGACCCCACGTCCAGGCCAGGTGAATGCAGCCCCCTCCCCCCATTCCTTCCTGGGTGCTGCCAGGCCGGCACTGCTGGGGTGGGGCAGGAGATGTGGAAAGTCGGGGACCGGGGTGAACTGGTCACGGGAAGTCTTGTGTTCATGTTCCCACCAAGGACACGTGGACACACATGGTCATGCCCTTGTATGCAGAGGCCTTCACAGTGGTGCAGAGGCGTAGAGTCACACGTCTGTGCCCAGGTGCACTGCCACCCGTGTGCAGGTGTGACACCTAATACAAGTCTCAAGGTACTCTAGCAACTGTCCAAAACTCCAGCCTCCCCTGTCCTCAGCTAGTGGGGCTGGTGGCCGAGGCTGTCTTGTCGTCACTAGGACAGTGCCAGCTGGGGCTCAGTGCTGAGGACCCCACTGAAGTCGACACCATCTGGCCATCCCAAAGGCTGCCAACGGGTCCTCGGCTCCAGGGTGCCTCTGGGGTGGTTTAAATAAATGAAGCCATTTTTTTTTTTTTTCCATGAGCGTTCCTCAGAGAGGCCTCAGAAATAGGTTGAAGACAACGGGGGAACTCTCTGGCCCTGGGGTATCCAGAGCCACTACTTAGCCTGAGTAGGGTGTCCCCAAGAAGGGGGTTCCTTTCATTTGTGGCTTTCATTCCATAAGGGAGCCTGCTCCACCCTGCCCAGCCAGCTGGCTTTAAGGGCAGGGGGCCAGAGCTCATCTGTCCCACATAGGGTCCTGAAGGAGGCCACAACAGACTGTGTGGGAGGGGTGAGCAGCTCTGCCAGCCTTGGCCCCAGCTCTCGGGCTGGGCTGTAGCAAGGACCAGAGGAGGGCAGACAGAGGAACATCTGTAAACTTACTACTCAGCCCCAGAATGAGGATGATGAATAGAGTTTTGATGGGGGGGTGAGGGGGGCTTGAGGACTTTCCTAGTAGCCTATACTCTACCATGAGGCTTACCCTTTCCTGATGTCTCTTACATATCACAGGCACTAACCCTGGGGTCTCCCCTGGTTCTCCCTACCTAGAGTCCTCCCTGGGAAGGTAGCTTGCTCTGGAAGAGCCAGGCCACATCAGGGGGCACTTGAACCCTGAGACAGCCCCAGAATCACCCTTCTTGAAAGGGGAAAGGTGCCATTTTATTTTAGGGACTATATTTTCTATACCCCCAAATGCATGCACCCTGGCAGGGACAGAACGGTTGGTTTGGAGTCGAAGACAGTCTGGGGCAGAGGGTCACGGCCCCCATGAGCTAGGCAGTGGGCACGGGACAGGCAGCTTTGGTTTGAATCAGCACTCTGACTTCTTCTAAGCTGGGTGGAGGCGGGGCACACAGGGCTGCTCAGCCTCTGCTGGGTTCCAGTGTGGGCCTTCCAGAGAGAGATCTGGGAGGTCTCAAGGCCGCGGGCCTTCAAGGCCCGCCTGTAAGTGTCAAAACTTCCCTACAACAGCCCCCTGGCCCCAGCAACCCAAGGTTACATTCATTAGTTAAGATTCACTTAAAAAAGAAAGAAAGAAAAGAAAAGAAAAGAAAGAAAAAACCGTGTAGATCAGCTCCTTCCCATGAGGTCCCAGAGAGCTACCACCCTGGTTCCAGCTGCCTGGTTCTGAAGAGGGGCCAGCCAGCCTTGTCCACTGGTGGCTACCTGCCCCCACCAGGCGCCACTCCAGGCCCCAACCTGAGCTGTGGCAGTCTGTGACGATGGGAGCTACATTCACGGGGGGGGGGGGGGGGGGGAGACATGTGCAAGGCCAGAGCCGCATGAGGTGGGGTGGGGAACTGGGCAGGAAGTGCCCCCCTCCAGGCCCCTCCACCCAGGTGGTCTGAAAGATGAGGCCACAGTCCCAACCCCAACCCCTGTGCAGACAGGAGTTGAAGGGTTTGGACCTGGAAGACATTTGCATGGTGCCTCCCTCTGTGGCAGGGTGGAGGCAGCCTCGTGGTCCGGGGCCGAGACGGTGGGTGCCAGGCTCGGAGGGAGCAGCGTGGCACTTTAGGCCCCTCCGGACCTGGAATGGAGAGAGGGCGTCAGGAGAGGACAGGAGGCTGGGCCCTGAGGGAGAGCCCTCCAGCTGCCCCCCCCTCCCCTGAGGTCTTGGAGGCATCAAGTCACAGACTGGCCAGGAGGGGGTCTGGCAGAGGTCAGACAGCGGTGGCATGGAGACAAAACAGATGGGCGAGGACGCAGAGGGAGGCCCCCTCCTAGGGGCAGGGGTTGCGGGGCACGGTTCCAGCGCCCACCCGGCCATGGGACCCGGCTGCAGAAAGGACAGCGGGAGGTGGGCCAGGGCCCGACAGGCGGGTGGGCAGGAGGAAGGGCCAGAGCGCAGGCTGAGGACTCGCTTCCCAGGCTGCCTGCGGGGCGCCCGGAGGGAATCGGATCGTCCCAGCTCCAGGTCAACAGAATGCAAGGGGACGAATGAAATGGAGACAAGGACAGCGGGAGGGATGACGTGGCCGGCATCACACTGCCCCCTGCTGGGTCGGGTCATACCTTCCACGACGGATGTTTCTTCCGGAGTCAAGGAGAGGGCAAGCAGAGAGACGGGGAGAGAAGGGGAGAGGGAGGAAAAGGGTCCTGTGAACCTCCTGTTCTCTGAAGGAATGGCCTTCTATCCCAGGAAGACCTTCTGCCCCACAAATGGACCATGGAGATCTACTTCAGATTGGTGGAGGGTTCAAGACCCAGCTCTGTCACCAAGTCACCCGTGACCTTGGGCCTCAGGGCTCTTCCAGTGCCCAGTATGGTGTCCAGAACAGACCCTAACTGCAAGGGCTGGATGGGGATGGGGGATGGACAACGACACACACACACACACACACACACACACACACACACACACACACACACACACCCCTCAGACAGGCCCTACCCACCTCTCCCCTGACAGTGCTGGGATGCTCAGCCAACTGAACCCAACCTTCAGCTTTCAACTACAGTTGAGGTAGTTGCCGTAAAATCTGGTGTTTAAATATGAGCAGGTAATTGTTGTAAACGTTCAGACTAGAACCTGTGGGCTGACTTGAACCAGGGATGTGTGAGTTCTGGGTGAGCTAACCTGTCAGGGAAGCCATTAGGCTCCAACAGTCTGGAGTGCCGAACCCCCAAGCTAGCACCTGGAGGGGATGGATCTAGGGAGCATGCGTCTCTTACTTAAATCCCCAGCCCGTGCCGCCCAGGACGATGGCTGCCACCAGGACAGCCCCGGCGATGGAGCCAATGATGATGTTGGTACCGCTGGGACCTGGGGAGGAGCGCAGGGCTTGGTTGGCAGGGACAGGCACGGGAAATGGGCGACAGAGACCACGCTGGCCAGCTGCGGCCTCACCTTTGTATCTCTCGGTCTCCCCGGTGGGAGGGGATGTGGGCAGGGGGTTGTGGATACTGCAGTCTTTGCCCGTCCAGTCTGGCTGGCAGATGCACTTCCCTTCGTTGCTGCAAACCTGCGGGTGAGGTGAGGCCGGCACAGGTAAGCGAGGCCGCGCCCCTGTGTGAGCCTCCTCCAGCCTGCTCCCCCCCTTCAGACACCCACCCCGTGGTGGGAGCAGATCCGGCGTTCCCCGCTGCCTGGGCAGGTGCTGAAGTTGAAGGCAGAGGCTGGCAGGCAGCGGTGGTCTAGGCACAGCATGTTGGGCCCACAGGCCGTGCCGTCCTCTACATAGCTCAGGTCGGAGCCGTCGGCCAGCTGCACGTGACCTCCCCTGGAGAGATGGGATAGCCAGCCTCCATCCCTGTCCCCCAGTCCCCACCCCGGTCCCCAGCCGTGGTCCCAGGCAACACCTGCAGTCCAGCTCCTTGCCCTGGTGGTAGAAGGTGACACTGCTGATGTCCGCCCCCAGGTCCCCTAGCCGAGGGGCTCCAGAGATGTTGACGCATAGGAGGAAGCCACAGAGCACATCCCTGTTGGGGCACAGGGGGACAACGAGCCCAAATTTTGCCTCAGACCCAAGTACTCCACCTGTGTTCCCTCTGGGCCTCACAGGCTCTTCCTGGAGCCTGCTGCCTCCACCCCTGTAGACTCCCAGAGCCGGGATGTCCGATGGAGAGAAGCCTACTCACTGCTTACTGCACTGGACCCAGCCAGATCCCTTGCGCCCACAGTTCCCACGCTCTGTCCCCTCCACATTCAGCTTCTCATAGCAGAAACGGTCTGCAGCCGCTAGAGAGAGAGAGAGACAGAGAGAGAGAGAGAGAGAGAGAGAGAGAGAGAGAGAGAGAGAGAGAGAGAGAGAGAGAGAGAGAGAGATCGATCCTCGGTCTCCGATAGAGCTACACCTTCAGTACTCTGCCTGATCCCTGGGCTTGATGCCCAAGGTCCTCAGAAGCCACACATTAGTGCAGGGCATGTCCAACCAGAAGCAGTCCCAGCCTGGCTCTCAATTCTAAGTTCTCCCCGAGTCTCCGTTCCCCATACCCAGCTGGACTTACCACGGCCCCAAAGGGCTTGGCACTGCCGGTCCCGGGTTTTACAGCGGCCTCCATAGCAACGGCCCTAAGACCCAGAGCAGACAAAGCATGAAGACTCTGGAGGGTCAGAGTGGAGACAAGACTGCACAGCGTTCAGACGGGAGGACCCCCCCATCCCTCACACCTGCTCGTGATCACAGTAGTAACCATCCAGCTTGTGCAGGTTAGGAGGACACTGTAGAGAGAGGGGGGCTGGCTGAGCAGAGCAGCCCAGGCCTGAGCTGAGGTACCAGGGGGAAAGAACGTAGGAAGCAAATTCTGCCCAAATTCTCATGTACATGGCTCTTCCTCCATCAAGGACAGGGGCCTGTTTGGCTCTGAGGATTTGACTGGTAAATGCCCAGGCTTTTCCGGGCTTCCTCGCCTCTTGCACCCATTACCCTGGAGGCCTGAGGTCTAACTAACCAATGTTACTACCCACCAGATCCCTAGCATACACTAGACACGGGCAGGCAGTAGGAGTACCAGCCTGACTACAAACGCTTGTTTCATGACTGAAGGAACAGAGGGCTTCGGCTCGAAGGACCCCTTTCTCAGAGAGAGAAAGCTGAGGTTGGTTAGCGGCAGTGTGGCAGAAGAGTAGTCAGCTCTTCAGATCGAAACTTAGAGGGGAAGGGGCTGTCTTGCGTGAGCCTCCACAGGAAGGACAGCGGGTTTGGCAGACCTGGCTTGAGTCGCCGGTACAGGTCTCTGCGATGTCACACTCATTCACCGCTTCTCGGCAGGAGACACCTCGCGGCTCATACTAGGAAAAGCATGCATGTTTCCGGAAAGGATAAATATCTCGCCGCTGCCCCCCCCCCCCCCCCCCCCCGCCCCAGGGTATCCTACTGTCCTCCTGGAACCTGGGTCCCAAGCCCAGTTTCTTATTTCCTGTCCCTCTCCGCCCTCAACATCTAAGGGTGACTCCCCGGCCTCCAACTCTCACCCCCCACCCCACCCGCCCCATTGACGCTGCCTTAGGGACAGGCCCCGCCCACACACATACTTGGCCCCTCCTCCCTCCCGCCTCTTGTCCAGGGCATCCAATCATCTCTTTGCTCCTGGCCCCGCCCTCCCTCCCGCGCTCGCTTGATCTTTCTCACCTTGCAGCGGCGACAGCAGAGCCCATCGCTGCACATGGCGTCGTGAGTCAGGGTGCATTTCTTGCAGCAGTTGCCACCCGCCCGGCTGCACTCCTGAGAGTAGCGGGGAGAAGCGGAAAGGAGGGCAAGCCCTTATCCTCGATCCTCCCCACTCGGTCCTCCCCACTCCCCCCTCAACCCTCCTCACTCCTTCCTAGAGCCCGGGCCCACACCGGAGACCAGCCGGACAGCTCGCTCACCTGCACCGAACCGCAGTCGCACTCCTCCCCCGCCTCCACGAAACCATTCCCGCACTCAGGAGGGTCCAGGAGCTGGAGGGGGAGGGAATGTCGGGAGCCTGGCTGGGACCCTGCGCACCCCACCCCCCACCCCTGCTTCCCGGTTCTCCACGCTGGTACCTTGAGGGGCTTGTTGAACAGGCAGCTCCCGCCTCCCTCCTGCAGAAACTGGTTGTATTCGTCGATGCTGCAGCGCGAGAACTTGCGGGGCAGGTAGAACCTGGGCAGGCGTTAAGGGACTGTGCTGCTGGGGCAGCCCTCCAGCCCTCCCTCGGGGGCCTTGGTTACCACTACAAGGAGGCTGGGGAACTGCCCAGTGATTGCACGACAGTCAGTCCCACATGCCCATCTAGGAATGGGTGGAGGACGTCACTTGCGATCATTTCACTGAACCTCGGGACAAAGAGCCCAGTGCTGGAACGCTCGGGAGGGACGGCGCCTCGCACGAGGCTCGGGCGCCTCCCAGTGGCCAGAGCGCGCGCTGCAGTCTAGCCAATTTGGGTGTCCCAGCCTCCCTGCGCTGTTTATAGATAACGTGTATTCTTGGAATCCCGAGTGCTCCCGTGAGCTGGGCCTCTTGAAGCCACCTATCCAGACTGCCAGTGCTACCCCAAACCCTTCCCCAAGTCTGTCTATAGGAACTCACCCAGTGTCCTCCATGATGCAACCCAGCCAGATGTCTGGACATTTGCAGTCCCCTGTGAGGCAATTTAGGAACACGTGAGATAAGGTAGAGGGGTACCCCCAACACTGACCCCTTATTCATCTCTTGAGGTGCTGGGTGGGTCTGAGATGGCTGTGGGCTTCAGGGTCGGTACCTGCCGAGCTCCGGTGTTTATTCCACATCATGCCCAAGTTCTGCCCTAGCGTCTGGGCCAGGGTCACCGCCATAGCACCCATGTTGCCGTACTAGGGGTGGGGGAAGACGGAGCACAGGATATCTATACCCTTCCAGCAGCCACTGTGTCTTAGCAAGCTGCCCCCTTGGCCCCCCCAGCCATGCCCCTCCTGCTCACCTCGTTCACACCTCCACCCCGGGACAGTGAGCAGATGCCCCCCACGTAGGCCACCCCACTGCTGGTGCTCTGGAAGGTTCTACCCCTAGAAGGGAGACAGCGTTCAGGATGACTCCGCAGAAGTAGCAGTGGATTCCAGCCCTTCACATCAGCCTGGTGACCTCAGGCTAGCCCCTCTCCTGTTTGGGTTCATTCACCCATAAGCCAAAGCAGAGGTCTGAGGGCCTTGAATTGCGTTTGTCCCTCGCTAGGGCACTGGGTCGCTGAGGGAGGGATGATGGGCAGTCTGGCAAGGGAAAGGCAAAGAGTACGTCCCCTGTACAACCTAAGGTGCAGAGGACACCCAGCTGGCATGCGGCTGCGAGCAGGTGGCAGGTGCAAGGCGAGCCCCACCCGCACACGCCAACTCCGAAAAGGGCTCCTGGCAGTGAGAAGCAGCAGCCAGCAAAAACTGGCAGGGCGTCTGTGGGGACTCACGAGAAGAGGTGGGTGGCATCACTGGGCTCAGGTAGACCCTCCCGCCGGTAGACCATAAGCCGGGCCAGGGTCTCCAGTAGGTCATCCTGCACCTGGATCTTGTCCCCATCTGCCCATGTTTCCATGGCAACCAGCACAATTCTTGTGTTGAGCTGTTCCTTGTATATCTGGGCCCAGAGAGAAGATTGGGGGGGGGGCGGGTGCTGGAGGGAAGCTGCAATCTATATTCCCAAGAAACGGGGGTCAGTGACTGGCAGTGACCCCTGGATGCCTGGATGTGTGGTGGGGGAAGCAGAAGTGGGAGAGGGCCTAAAGGTGCTGCTCACCACATCCGCCAGGTTCACAACAGACTTGGCGAAGTTGCTGGTGAGAACCACTGACTGGCGCATCTGCTCGAACTGCCGGGAGAGGCGGGCAAGAAGGTAAGGCTCCCCTGGGCCTCTCCGCCCAGGGTCCCCCTCAGCCTGGGCACTTACCAGCTGGTGGTCGTTGATCACAATCAGTTCTACATACTTGGTCTCACTGTGCACCGTGGGGTGGCCCCTGCGGACCTGGAGGGCGGGTAGGCACTTGGAATCAGTCCCCTCTATGTCTGGGCTCACGGCCAAACCATGGGCAGACATGTGGGGAGGGGGCATTCTGGTCTCCAGTCAGGGATGGTGCCAGCCCCCATCTGGCAGAAAGTGCCACCCCTCCCAGCCTGGAAATGAGAGCAGAGGACACACAGTGTCTGAGGACCCAAAAATGGGGACCTGTGTAGACACCAGTGTTAGGCAGGAGTTGGGGGGCCCTTCCAGGAGGTAGTTCCCTGGCTCCTGACCTCATCGCTCTAAACTCTCTTTTGCCCAACCATAGGACTGCCCTGGACCACAGTCTAAGGTCTCTGTAGCCCGAGGCTATGCGGGCCCCATACCTGCCTTTTCCTCCTCAGCCTGGGCCAGGTGGGAGGAGCAGACTGGGCAGGGCCAGCAAACAGGCAACCTGTGGGGAGCAGTAGGTAAGAGGGGCCCAGCTGTCCAGCCCCACCCGCTTCCCCCTCCCTTACCTGGTTCCCTGCATCCGAGAGGGGCTGGGAGGAGAGGGGTCCGGTAAATGAGGTGGGGAAGGGGTCCCTGCAATGAGGGGAATTAGTTCTTGGGGAGCCAACCAGGTCTGCTCTGGGCCCAGATTGGAGGCAGCTCCAGCCCTTCCCCCACCCCACCCTGGGGTGACCCAGAACTGGCCAGAGCTCCCATGTCGGATCTGATCTCCCAGATGCTCAGATTCCAGGGTCAAGACCTGGGGGCGCCCTGAGAGACAGGGGCAAAGGACACTGGAGCCCAGTGAGAGGTCACTTGGGGGACAGAGGGGACATTGGAGATGGGGGCACAGAAGGCAGGAACCAAAGCTGGGGTCACCCAGGGCAGTGAGGGTGAGGTTGCTGCAGGAGAGGAGGAGGTACCATCGATGCTGGGGGAAGTCACAGTGTGACCATCAGGAGGGCAGAAAGGCCTGCGCAGGCCTTGCTTACCTGAGGGGGTCCCCAAGGCCCAGCCATCTCTTTGGGCTCTATGATGTAAGTCAGGTTCCCATCAGAGAAGACCCCGCTGTGGAGAGAGGCAAGGTTCCTCACCATCCTGGGCCAGGCAGAGGCCCCCCTGCTGCCCAGTGCCCTCCATACTCACTGCAGCCCCTGGCAAGTGGACAGCGCAGCAAAAGAGTGTGGGTTGCCCCGGAGTTTCCCATGGTAGTAGCAGTGGTCTCCAGCCCCCTGTGGAACAGAGGGCTGTGAGTGAGACACCCTGTCCAAGCATGGAGGCGGGCGACCGTGCAGGGGCCGCGGTCCTAGGAATACCAGGTGCTCTAAACCGGTGGGACTTCTAATTCCTCTGTCACCGTGAACAAGCTCCTAACACTTTCTGGGTCAGCTTCATCTGCCCCATAAAATGAGGACATTGGGCCACACAGCAGCTCCTGGCTATTTGTTGGGGCTGGTGAGGGATCCCAGACTCCTTTGAGACCAACGGACAGATCTGACATAGTACCTGCCACCCCCCCCAGGCCCTGTTCTGAGCACACCACATACAATGTGTCATTAGCCAGCACCTGCTGTGGATGCACACACACACACACACACACACACACACACACACCCCACCTCGTGCACAAGCTCACAGTCACATGTGGTCTGCAGCTGAGGGACTGTGACAGCATGGGTTCTCCTGACCTGGCTCACAGGTCAGAGGGGACCAGCAGCACCCGCCTCTCCCAACTCCGCTTCCTGTGGAATTACTTGTGCTCTAGTTCCAGAACAGGCTGGGGGGGGGGGGGAGCTATTTATAGACACTCATTCATCTCTGTTCAGGCTCCAGGGCCTCCAGGGCTGGGACCCTAGTGTGGCAGGCATCTGGGACTCCCAGGGCGAGAGGAGGCATTTTGATCTGCTGCTCAGGGGTGGGTGGAGTTCCTGCCTAGGATGTGCCAGGCCCTGGGTTTAGTCCCTAGAACTCCTCAAGCAAGGGAGGGGTGGTCATCTCTTCCAAAGCTCCCTCCCAAAGGATTCTGGGGATATAGCTAATGTGACACAGTGAGGATCCTGTTATACCTCCATGCAAGGGAAGAGGCTGGGGCAAGTCAGGCCTGTCTGAAGGAGGGAGGCTCAGGGACCCACACCACCCACCCTGCCCTTCCTGCTGGTCCCCAGAGCCTCTAAGGTGGGAAGGATGGGAGGTCCCTCGACACCAGGCCATGCTGAGTGTGTCCTTGACATACCTCCACCAGCCACCTCGCTGTCTTCCCCATTTCTCTGGGCTGGGGTTCTGAGGATCAAAGCCTCCACATGCGAGGCCAGCTACCGCTGACCCACACCTCCAGCCCCACGCCTGCATCTTCAACCACAGAACAAACACCTCTGCCCACTTGATCCAAAGTCACTCACGGTGCTGTGTTGGGTGGTCCCCTCCCGGCTGAAGTGGCGTTCCACGTACTGCGAGGACAGGAGGTGACTGAAACAGCAGGAGGAAGAAGGGTCACTTGGTGAGGCCAGGTCCTGCTTAGCTCCCACCCCAGCTAAGGATCCAAGTCCCCCAGTGCCCCCAGCCAGCCAAGCCCCACGGCCCACGGCCCACCCTCTGGCTCCAGGCTACACTCACTGGTTTAGCTCCAGGTCCAGCGTGAAGTTTGAGTCGAAGGCTGGGATGATGAAACTCACCTGGGCCAGGTGCACGGGCTGGCGTGGGGAAGGGCAGAGAGGAATCAGCCTGGAGTGGGGGTGGGGGTGGGGGACCAGAGGAACCTTGGGGAGGGGCCGCCACGCTCCAGAAGCTGAGGAGACCCCTCTCTGGGGTCCTTGTCCTCTGAGACCCCCGGGCCTTCCCTGAGGATAGCTGTTTAACCTTGGCCACAGCCCACCCTCCACCCAGGTCCTGGGCATCCTCTGTCCTCTGGCTACTTTCTGGGTTAGTCTCCTTGAGAATCAGGGACAGAGGAGGACATCCTAACCTGCCCATGGCCTCATGCTAGGCTCTCAGAGCTGTTGATAGGGCCACCCCAACTTCATGGGAACAAAAGGGAGCCCCCAGAAAGTCCACGGAAAGGCAGAAGGGTCCCCAGCTCACGGGTGGGCAGGGGAAGGGAAGCAGTCCCCAATCCCAATCTACACAGGAGGACTTGGGTTTGCAGACACGTGGAACAGGTGGGAATTGACCACTGGGGCCCTAATGCTGGGCAAGGGCAGACACCACCACCTTGAGGGTAGACCTCCCACAGCTCCAACCCATTGCCCTCTGCCTGCCCAAAGCAGCTCATCTTTAATATTTCAATCCCACAGTTAATTTTTAAACACGGAAGTTTTCCTGATAAATTTTTCAAAGGGGCATATGCAGTGGGGCTGGGAGGCTCCAGGTTGCCATGGCAATGGACTAGGCCTGAGCAAGATGGCTGCCCTCTCTGCCTGGGTGCCCAGCTGCTTGGCGGGTGGGGGTGGGAAAAGAGACATCAAAGGCTGGAGGGAAAGATTCACCCCACTCCCAGAGGAGGGCAACAGAGTTTGGGTGAAGGGGGAGCTGGCCTAAGAGTTACAGTCACCTTAGAGACCCACCGGGGGCCTAAGCCCCACCCAAGCTGGCAACTTGTCTTTGGTCTTCCAAAACACTTGGAAAGGTCTGCAGGCTGAATTCGGGAGTTGGAGTCTGCCTCCTACCCCGTCTGTTTAGGAGTGTGGACCTCCAGATCCCAGGCAAGGGCCCATGCATTGGTCTGAACTCTTGGTGAGCACTGCCGTATTTGATCTCTCCAACAACCCTGTGGGACAGCTGCTCCTGTCCTTCCTGGCAGCCGGGAACCAATGCACAGAGATGCTAACTGGTGTGCACAAAGCCACACAGGTAAAGGTGCTATGCCCTGTGTGGTGAGGCGGTCTGCAGTCGCAGCTCTTGGAGGATGAGGCAGGAAGATCATGAGTTTGAGGCTAGCGTTGGCTTCATAGTTCCAGGTCAGCCTTAGCTCCATACTGAGACCTTGTCTCTCAAACAGAAAAGGAAGAGGGTAAAAAAAAAAAAAAAAAAAAAAAGCTGATATTCAACCACAGGAATAGATTTCCAGGGCCTTCCTTCTAGAAAGGTGGCAAGAGATGGGAGTTGTCCCAGAGCCATGGGAAGTTAGCTCTGGGAATGCAGGCAAGGAGAAGCCAAAGGGCCAGGGCCTCCAAAGCAGACCTGTGAGCCCCAAGGACACGGACTCACCCCACCCCACGCTGTCTGAGGTTCCAAACTCCACCCTAAGCCCCTAGAGCATCGATCAGACTCAAAATAGAGAGCCAAGGGCAGTGAGGTCTTGCTGTCTCCCCCCCTCCCCAAGCCCTTAACCTGGCCAAGTCTGCTATCCCCTCCCCTAGGCCTGTCCTGGTTCGCATCATCTCTCCTCCAGCTCTGCCAGGGCGTCTCTGCCCTCCCCACCTCAGGACAGCTCCTGCTTGTCTGTCTGTCCCTATCCTGCCTGCTCGGAGAAGTCGCTTTCCAGGCCCCTTCCCTTGATCCTGTTCTAAGCTGTACAACCTTAGGGATGACCCAGAAGCCTCCCCGAGCCCCAGATTTTCCGTCTGATGAAGGTAAGGTGAGTGAACGTTGGAGCTGGGAGGCTGGCTTTGCAGGGGCCATCCTGATCCCACTCTGGGGAAAGCAGTGAAATATGGCAGGGTTCTATTTCTCCAATAGCCTGCAGCCAGTGAGGCTCAGCTGTGGGATACACCACCCTTCTCCAGTGGACATGGGGCTCAGCCCAGAGAGACCAGCCAGGAGGGGGCTCTGTCCAAGGCAGTGGGACACAGTTGAGAAACCAGGCACCAAGGCACGTTGGCCTGGCCCAGCTCAGTCCACTTTCGGAGGGAGAACCAGATAATGCAAGTCCAGCCTTATCCCAGGCACTGGGCTGCTGGCTCCAGGACCGGCAAGTCCCTGGCCAGCTTTTAGCCAGTGCTCTACCAAAGTCAACAGCTCTCCTTGCCAAGCTGGCCCACTGTCCCTGCAGCAGCCCCAGCCCTGCCTGCTCCCATTACCCTCTGTCCCTAAGGCCCTCCAGACATGAGGTCACAGCAACTGGCCACCTCAGCCTCTCCCTGCTCAGTACTGCTCAGGACTGGACATGACCCCATGCCCTGCGCCTGGCTCTTACTTCTTGGTGACCTTGGTGCTTAGGTGTTCTGTTCATTTGATCTCACCCTGCCCGGGCTGGCAGGTCCTCAGGGAGCAACACCAGGTGGTGACAGGCCCAGGGTCATGCTGGGGAGGTGCCAGGCCAAGTCTCACTTCTGGGCTGGAGGCTGTGTCTGCATGTCAGCTGTGGTGACCTGGCAGGTGAGTGCCCCTTCACCCGACTCTGTCCTGTGACAGGTCCTCGTGACAGGTCCTCCCTGCCTCCCAGGCACCTGCTTTTGGCTGCCCATGCCTTACTTTCTCCACGCCCTCTGTTGGGCCCAGCCGGATTATAGGACACAGAGACGGACAACTGCCTCTGCCTCAGACCTCAGTGGTGGGGAAGGGGTGCTAAAGATCACCAGAATTCTAGGGTGCCCCAGAAAACCTGAGCTGCAGAGTCCTGCTCCCGGCAACCTCCAGGAACTGCCCCTCAGTACTCTGAATCCAATCTCCTCTAGCTCCTCATCTGCAGAGTCAACACCTGCCTGTCCCCAGAAGGCTCAGCCCACTCATAGCTCTCAGCCTCTAAGTATCCAGTTTTGGTTTTTTTGTTTGTTTGTTTGTTTTGGTGGTTGGTTTTTACAGACAGGGTTTCTCTGTGTAACAGTCTTGGCTGTCCTGGAATTTACTTTGTAGACTAGGCTGTCCTTGAACTCACAGAGATCCGCCTACCTCTACTTCCCAAGTGCTGGGATTAAAAGTGTGCACCACCACAGCCTGGCTTAAGTATTCAGATTTTACAAACATACACACACACACACACACACACACACACACACACACACACACACACACACACACGCAATCACTAATTCACCTTCAGTCCTCTGGAGTGAGGGCTATTATCGCCTTTCTCCCCATCCAACTGCTCAACAGTGATTCGGTGACTTGGGCTGGATGGGCAGTGTCAGACCTAAGGAGCCATTCACCCCCATCCTCTGTTTCTCTGTGGTTAAAACGGGGTGCCATGAGCATGGTGTGAAACTCAACTCAGCACTCCATTACAGTCAGGGTCAGTTATCACGATATGGAGGACCTCCACAGCCTGGCAGCTGAACGGGGCTTTGAGGGTAAAATACTTCCTTTGTTTACCTCCTGTGATCGGGACGTGAACGGTGGCTTGGAGTGATTTACCTGTGTGGGGTCACTTCACTCTCCATGCTGGAAGACACTACCACCTCGTGGGGCTGGGTGGCAGAAAATAGAGAAAGAGCCAGAGAGATGGGAGCCTCATCTGGGAGCCCCCTCATCCAACAGCAACCCCCCTGCAGCCACCAGCAAAGGAGGAAAGGCTCCATTCATCAACAGGGCAGCGGGCCACAGACAAGAACAGGTGCACGCATTTCCGATGATTGGAGTTGACCTAAATTTTTGAGGACAGAGTCACCCTTACAGGGTCATCAATCCCTCTGGGGACAGACTCCGGACAGCTGGGCTCCTCGAGGCAGCCAGGAGGATGCTTGGGTAAGGCCAGGCCCACAGGCCAGAGTCTTGTGGGAGGACTGCAGATGTCACGGTGTGCCTCTTAAAGTCCCTCCTGGAGCTGCACAGGTAACCCCCAGACGCCCTGTCCTTGGCTTCCAGCCGCTCACCCCCTTCAGAGAGGCCCTCCTCCCCAAGACCCAGACAGGACTGTGTTGCTACTCTGACATAGCAGCAAATCACAGCATGGCCTTGGCTCCGGGGGGCCGGCGTCCATGAGCTTACTGCCCCCCATGTCTGTCTTGCATGGGTTGGGGTCTCACTCACTTGCCCTCGATGGCTGTGCGAAAACCGCACAGCAACTCCCACTCTGGTAGTTCTCGAATGTGCTCTCTCAGTGACAGCCTGGCTCAGGTGAGCCGTCTGCAGGCCTGGGACCCTGAGTCCTGACCTTGCTACCCACAGCCTGACTTCCCTTTGGTCCCCCAAGGAGTTTGGTTTTCTCAGGGCCAGGCAAGACCCACACAACAGCTCCATGGGCCATCGGATTCAGTCGGTTGGCTTACCCTGCCCAGACGCACTTACGAAGTGAACAACCAACGCAATGGACACCGCGGTCCTTCTGCCTGCCCCCTCCCCCACCCCCAGCTGCAGGCTCCCTGAGACCACAGCTTTCTGGGTTTTCAGGAGCTCTCCCACTTCTCCAGGACACTCTGGCCCAATCTTCCTCCAAATAAGAGAAATGAGTGAGGTATTGAGAGCCTCAGCAAAGCGAGCCGAATCTGGGAAATGGGAACAGAGGCTCTGGCTTCTGGAGTCCGATGAATACTAACCAACCCAGACATCCCACAGCTGAGGTCTGCCCCAGCAAGGTGTGATGGTGACATGTGGGGTCTAATTTATGTCCCAACCCTGCCCTCTACCAAGCCAGGGGGACCCCAGCACGTGAAGCACTTCCTCACTGCTGACACCTGGGGAGGGCTGAGACTCAGGTTATCATTAGGAGTCAAGACAATGAAGCTCTTCAGAAAGGGGACATGACCAGCCGCCTGCCAGAGCAGGTGACCTGTGGCCAGCACAGGCCTATATCCTCCTGCATCACCAGGGACGACATCGAATGAGGCCCAGCTGCAGCGCAGTGACCCCTGGGAAAGGGTCTGGGCAGAGGCAGGGTACCTCCTATTGAGTCCTGGCTCTATCAGTCCTGAACTTCTGACCCTGGGAAGCAGTGTATGTACGCGTGAGTGCGTGTGTGTGTGTGTGTGTGTGTGTGTGTGTGTGCGTGCGTGCGTGCGTGTGTGCGTGCGTGTGTGTGTGTGTGTGTGTGTGTGTGTGTGTGTGTAGGGGGGTTACCAGGACCTGGTTCAGCCAGGGGACTTCTTGGACATGCATGTGTCCTCTGTCCTTCCATCTTTCTGGCTCTGGGAGAATTGGAGATGTTGCCCCTCAGCCCCCAATTCGGAAACTCCTAGAGGCAGAATAGCTCAGTGGGCAGTGCCCTGGGCTTGGAGAACGCCGCTCCTATCACCAGTTTAAAGTCCATCAACTTTGGGCAAGCCTCTCTCAGTCTGAGCTGGCTCATCGGCAGAGAGGGGCAGACAGAAGTAGCTGCCTATTAAACAATGTCATATGCACGCAGCACTCCGTGGAATGCCTGGCTCAAAGTAGCCCATGGCCTTGGCTTCTACCTCCCCTTTACCCACCTGAACAGCTTTCTAGCCTTTGGAAACTGAGGGATGGAGATGCCAGGGCCCCAAGCAATTCCCCTGGGGAGGATGCATGAGGTCCCTAAAGGGTCTCAGGCCTAGAGAAACATCCACCGGAGACAACCACTACCCCAGATCCACAGAACTCTCCACTCCCACACCTCGGCCACTTCTTATGTGTTGGATTCAGTCAGTTGCGTAGACCCAGCTTCACACACATGCCAACCCACTCACGCAGCAGAAGAACATCCAAAGAACCCAGCCCAGCCCCACGGCACTTCCCCTCTCTCCCCACTGCCCAGGCCTGCTGTCCTAGCAAGAACTAGCTGAAGGCACAGCCCCCCCCCCCAGCCGGAGCCCCCACTTTTCATCCCTGTGCTTCCCAACTATACCTTGACCCCCCTATTTGTACATCCTGTAAAGCTCAAGCCAGAGCCCAGCGGTCAGGCAGGGTCAAGTCCACGGTGGAGTGCTCAGTTCATAGAAAGCTACAATAGGAACCAAACAGCAACCAGGACACCCTACCCCTGGGCCTGGGACATCCCTAAGGCTCATTCAGCTGCTTCCCTGGGTGCCAGAGTGGGCACTGAAGTTGGCCTCCGCCCCACCCCTACCCTCCAGCAGCTGCCAGCTCAGGACCATTAGCCCCCTCCCCTCTCCTCCTCAACACAGCCCTGAGTGATGGTCCATCTATTATGCATGTTCCTTCCTGCTCCACTCCATTTCTCAACTACTCCCCACCCCTGCATCACCCCCCCAGCCCCCCTCCTTAAGGGCTTTTAACCAAGTACATTAGGCAGGGCCAGACGCCAGTCTCATCCGTTCCCCTCCTCCCTCTGCCCAGCTGAATTTACCTCCCACCACTCCCAGCTGCCCAAACTTCTCAGACCTGGGTTTGCCCCTCTCCTGAATCTCCCCACGCCTCCTGTTTCTTACACAGCCCTCTGCCGCCCCTGTTGGCCTGGCTAACTTTCAGCTTCAAGCTCCTGGAGAGCTAAGGCATGCTGAATGAATATTCCATCTGGGTGATTATTATTCACATGATGTTAATTAATTATTAATTGCACTTAATCTCCTTCATCCCTAACCTTCCTCTGGGAGGCAGGGGCCCAGTAGCTTGAAAGGGATAGGGCACAGGTAGAGCTGGCCTCTGCAGATGCATTCTGGGCCTCAGATCATTTTTGCAAGGTCCCACCTCCAGCTAGGACAAGAAGAATAAGTCTGTGTGTGCACAATGGGAAACTGAGGCAGGAGTAAGCATTACACTGTTCCAAGAAAGTCCACTGAGGGTGGCTTTGGTGGGACTTAGGAGCATGAATCCCTGCCTGGGCGCTCAGCTGCATGGTGCTGCCCTGCCCCCCAAGTCCTGTTTTAGACAGAACCACTGATTCTGGTTGAAGGATGACCCTAAGCTAACTGAAACCTGAGCATGCCAGTGTGCGGGGCAGGGGGTTTCCACAGTGATAGGAGGGGCCTGGAGCTGGAGAGTCCCAGTGTCCCCACTCTTGGGCTCCAGCCCCACCTGATGGCCCGTTGCCGGCAAAGGGAGGCTGCAGGAGCTGCAGCCTCAGCGGGTGGCACCGAACCCTGGCTACTTGGCGGACCGCGAGGCCTCCTCCAGCCCCCTGACTCCACCACCCAGCTCCACTCACCGTCCCCCTGGGTGGATCCTGGCGGACCCTGGTGTCCACTTGCGCCTTTCGGACCTCTCCCCCGGAGCTCTCCCTTACCAGCCGGCTGGGCTCTGTGACCTCGGGGCCCTCTGGGCTCACTGGGCTCCCCATCTGGGCTGAGCTCCTCCAATGCAGAGCTCCGCTGGGACCCAGGGCCCCAAGACCTGAGGAGACAAGGCCATAGCTGCAGGCAGATGCCCTCCATGGGGCAGGAGACTTGGGATGGGGGGCACGCCCCAGCCCCCACACGGTCGCGGCCCTTGGAGTCCAGTGAGCATACGGGTGGGAGGATCTGGCTTGCCTTGCCGAGGGAAGAGCCCCACGGGGAGGGGGCCGAGAGCTTCATTCTGCCCATCAGTCACGACTGCCCCCCCCACCCCCAAACCCGCAGAGACCTGCAGAGTCCGCCGGCCAGCTTCAGGGGGATGGTAGCGGTAGGGCCAGCCAGATCCGGACAGGTGGGTGGAAGCACCTTCCCTCCTCTCCCGCTCCCCTACCCTCCCGCGCTCGGGACCCGCTGTCACCCGGAGCGCTGCAGGAAAATGTGGCTGCAGCAGAAAACCGCCGCAAAAGCCCGGGGCGCGGGGCCGGCCAGGGGCGCGGAGGCAGGGGCCAGGCGGCCAGGGTCACTCACCGGGCGGGGGGAGCAGCGGCAGCAGCAGGAGAGCCGCGATCGCCCAGCGCCGCAGCCGCCTCATGGTTCGCTCATAATCCTCCGGGTCCGGGGGCTGCGGCTGCGAGCGGCGCGGGGAGGGAGGGAGGGAAGGAGGGAGGGAGGAGGGCGGGGGCGGGTAGCGCCGGCGGCGGCGAGCGGAGCGGGCGCGCGGGCCGGGCGGGGGTCGCGGGTGGGTGGTGCGGGGCTCAGCGCGCTCGGGCCGCGGCCATCCCGGCGGGGATGCAGGGCCGGGTTAAGAGGCGAGTGGCGAGCACGTGAGCTTTGGTCCCGCCCCCCGCCCCCCAGTCGGGGCCCGGGCCACCGCTGCGGTAGGACAAAAGGGGCACCGCCCCGGGACCCCTCTTCCCCGGCACTCCCTCGGCAGGTGCACCCCATCCTGCGACCCCTCCGCAGCCATCCCTTCGCTTAAGGATCTGCAACCCGTAGATTGGCAGGTGGAGGTTGGCAGGGTGAAAAGGGTCGCGGGCTCTGACTCAGTGATGTCCCATCTGGGGAACTGGGTGCGGAGCGTGGCTGATGGTCCTGGCACACCTCTAGGACTTAGCACGCTTGAATGGGGTGCCCCAAACCCAACGCCTCTATTGACAGAAGGTTGTGGCACTTGGGAAGGTAGGGTATGGTGGCGTAGGGGACAGAGGTCCTGTTGAACACACACACACACCTCAGTGCCTCCTCCAGGACGCCTAGATCGTCCATAGCAGAGGTGGACACTGCAGCCCTCCCACACTCACTGTCTAAATCTGTTTCCTAGGCTGCCACCTCTTGACAAAGAGGTCCCCAGTTCCTCAGGTGGGGGCATCCTTCCCCCTAAACAAAACACAAACTACCCAGGTCGATGATATAAGGCCACATGCTCCATTTGTCTTCCATGGCCAAATCTTATTCAAGGAGCAGAAGTTACCTGGAGCCCTCAGATGTATGTCTCTGGTCAGATTAGGCTGCCCTGTCTGTAAAATACTTGTGACCCACCTTCTCAGCTGTGTCCCCAAGCCTTAGTTGACCCGGTTGAACCTTTCAACCCAGTTCTTGGGCTTCTTGGGCAAGGCAGATGCAATGTGAGGGGCTGGGATCTCCGACCTCTCGGAGAGGTCCGAAGATCTCCATACCTGACTGAGATCCCAGGAGTATGTGGGGCATGACACAGGTCCCTGGCTCCGACTAGTAATGCCTGGCCTGGGGACTGAGTATGTATGGTTGTGTGGCCGCTGCTAGGTCCCATCCTGACCTCCCAAGAGCACAGCATTTTTATACCAATACTTGGGAACCACAGGTCACTAAGGAACAAGAGTGGAGGCAGGGAACCCCTTCCTGGGTCCTCTGTTCCCTCGGGGCCTCTGCTGGGGACTGGGGAGCTGCCTCTAGCTTGTGACAGCACCCCCACCCCACCCCCAGCTCTATTTTAGGCCCAGGAGAGGTGAGAAGGCGATTTCCCAGGAGGCACTGACATCAATGCTGGGAACGAGGTGACTTCCCCCCTCCCCAAGCACCTGCCATTCCAGCCCCAGATGCTCAGCAAAGCTGAGCAAATCCTTCCTTCACTCTGGAAACATCTTGAAAACCTCCAGGATGCTTGGGTGAAGGGGCTTCGGGGATGAGGGCCCTACCATGTGGTATTTCCCAGAATGGCAAGATTGTGCTCCCCATTTTACAGAACTCTAAGTCCCCCAGGCCAGGGTCCCATTCCTCACTGGTTAAGCCTGTCTCCACCTCTGCCTCTCTGTAGGTTCAGAGGGGACTGGTACATCCGATTCCTAAACTTCTAAGCCACTTGGCATTCCAGACCTCAGAGTGACTGTCCACCCACCAGGCTGTGTTGGGTACCATGGTACATTGGCAAGCCCTGACGAGGTATGCCATCAGACAGGTTAGGTGGGTCTTCTTCACAGTGGAGGACCCTGAGGCTGGAATCTAGGTCTCTCCACACATCTAGGACCACATGGGGAGTCTGAATCCAAGGCCCAGGACTTGAACCACTGCGGTTTCTGATGTGATAGCTTTGCTTCTGGGGAGACTTTCCTGGCCCTGAGCGACATTTTTTTTTTCTGGTGGCCCCCTAAGCCCGTTTGGGTTCAATTATATGACTCCTTGACCCCCAATTCACTTATGTTTTTGGGTTCCTGGCTCTGTGTGGACCCAGGTGAATGTCTTGACTGTCCTATGACTACATCTCACTTCCCAAGGCAAGGGTCCGCCACCCATCTTGAACCCTTTCAGCTCCACCACAAGGTGGCTGGCCAGCCAAGCTGGCTTTGGCTCTCCTGCCCCCACCCCCAGGGGCCAGGAGTTATTTCTGTCTTCAAACTGGTGGCCCTCTGTTGGGAACGTCAGAAGAACAGGGACTGTCCCCCTCATTAGACGGGCTCCTGATAGAAGTTGCCATCTTCTCCGTGGGTGGGGGATTGCCTGGGTCCCTCTTAGAGTTGCCTATGGCATCCCTACCCTGACACCACCGCTATGGCCTGCCGCTTCGACCACTGCCCAGTCAAGGGGTCTCCCTGGCTAGTACCTTTTCTGTACTTAGGGTTCCATTTACCTTCATCCGAGGGAGAGTTCTACCCTCCCTCAGGAACCCCACACCAGGGGGCCTGGGCCCCTCCTCCCTAGTTCTTTCTGTCCTTAGGCCAATTCTCTCCTCAAGTTTTCCTACTAAAGGGCCAAGCTGGGTGGGTGAAGGGCCCAGATCTTGCTTTGGAAACTTCAGGTAGGGGAGGTTGTCCTGGGCGTGTCACGGACAGGGACTGCTGTTGGTAGAGTCACAAGGCCTGGTCCCCAGTCTGTCCAGAGGACAGAATGAATGGAGAAGTGGATACAAACAGGCCTTGAGATTTAATCAATTTATTTAAATACTGTGAGTTCAAGGCCAGCCTCACAGGGCTACATAGTGAGACCTTGTCTCAAACAAACAGACAAAAATATTATTGGAGCCAGGCATGGTGACGCCTTTAGTCAGTTGGATCGCTACATGGCAAGCTCCAGGCCATCCAAAGCTGCACAGTGAGACCCTGTCTTAAATAAAAAAGTCTTGAGGCTCTAGCGTGGGGTCCCAACCCTGGCTCCCTCATTTATCACGTATTTGACCCTTCGGCCTCCAGGCCTGGCTCACAGGCTGCAGAGGGAGCAACAGAGCTGAACTCCACACATTTACAGAGCCCCATGCTCTGCTGAGGTTCCACCAACTGAGCCAGCAACACAGGTGGAGAGGGGCCAGCTCCTTGGACCTTGTTAAGCACCCATGATCCAAAAGCTTGCAAGCCTCAGGGATCTCTCTGCGCATATGGCTTGGATGGCGTGATTCTGAGGGGTTGGGGCAAGGGAGTGCTGTGGCACTTGGACAGGAAGTCCATCTTGCTTCATCTCAGACCCAGCCCAGGGCAGATGCCCGGCACACCGGCCTTTGAGGGACTTATGGGACATAGAAGTCAGTCTCAAGGGTCCAAGTGCCCCTTCTCTTTCCCATAGAGATCTTCGTGGAGACTGGAGACTTAACCTCAAGAGGGCCTGGGGACAAGTGTTACAGTGTCCCTTAGCAGTCTCATCCACTTTATTATTATTATTATTATTTTATATTTTATTTTGAGACAGTCTCATCTCAAATCTCCTTGGCTGGCCTCAAACTTGCTATGTAGCTGAGGATGACCTTGAACCTCCACCTTCTGAAGGCTGGAATTACTGGTATGCACCATCACTCCTGGATTATACAGTGCTGGAGCTTGAACCCATGGCTTTGTGCCTGCTAGGCACACACTCTAAGGACCGAGCTATGTCCTCAGCTGTTCATCCATGACTTATACTATAGACAAGGACAAAGGTTGCAGGACAAGAACTATGGGACTAAGCCAGTCTAAGTGTGTGGACGGAGAGCACACCACCGGGAGTTGACGCCAGTCTGCTGAGACAATGTGCCAAGCACCTCACACACGTGCAGTTTGATGCTTGCCATTTCCTCATGGATGGGAACTCCACCACCTTCACTGTTCAGAGCTTATGGAGTTATGAAGCAAGGCTTGGACTCGAACTTAGGTCTATGTAGCTGCCAAGTTCATAATAAGGGCTCACAGACATAGCTGAAGATGTAGTTAAGGGTACAGCAACTGCCCAGCATGTGCAAGCGTCTCTAGGAGCAACCCCAGGGAGCAATCGAGGACAGCTACAGAGGCTGCCCTCACCCTGGCCAGAAGACTAGGATCTCACAAGGCTGGATGGGGACAGAGGAGGGACGGCAGAGATTTAGGAGTGGAGGTGGAGGCAGGTGGGTGAATTAAACAGGCGGAGAGGGTGACGGTGTGGGACTTGAATCTAGCTGGCTACAGTGAGTGACAGAGCAACTCCAGAACAAAAGGCAAAGGGGGCCAGGCCTTGTTTTGAGGGTGGATTCCTAGGTAGGACGGCCAAACGTGAGCTTTGATGAGGTCAAGGTATTTCACACGGGGAGGGACTCAGAAACCATCTCACCCACACCCCTCATTTCTTTCTTTCTCTTTTCTTTCTCTTTCTTTTTTTCTTTTTCTTTTTTTTTCTTTTTAATTTTTTGAAATAGGATCTCACTATGTAGCTCTGGCTGTCCTGAAACTCACTCTGTAGACCAGGCTGGCCTTGAACTTGGAGATCCGCCTGCCTCTGCTTGCCAGGTGCTGGGATTAAAGGCGTGTGCCGCCACCACCTGACTGACTGGACAGGAGTTTTTGACAGCAGGTGACAAGTTTCTCCCTACAGGTGACTACTCACTGGACAGCAGAGCTAAAAGTGCCAGACAGGACAGGGAAGAGGGGACAAGGTAGGGGTACGTGTCCCGACCACTCTTGGTCCCAGGCCAGGCTGCAGGAGGTAGTGGCATTCACGCGACCTCCTTTTGCAGGGACCTACCCAGTTCTCCAGTGACTGTGGACAGCGGTCATCTGGGCCCTACCCTGTCGTGGGTTACTGCAGGGCAGACTGAGACCAACACGCTGCACTCCAGCCTGGCCTCTTTGCTCTAAGTTATTAACAAATGTATTGACATGCCCTGAATCAGGATTGTAAAACCGAACGGCATAAAAAGGACAAACAGGGTCTCCGAGGAGCTTGGTGTACTCAGTTGCTCTATTTCCAAGATAACAACTCAGGTCCTCACCCACAGCTAGGTCCCCCTTTCTTCCTCCGAAAGGAGACAGAATAGCACCAGACTTCTGGCAGCTTCAACATTTAAAGAGACAAGCACACAGGCAGAGAGGGTGAGAAGGACCACGGTACAAATTGTAATAAAAAACAGTGGCCAAGGAATCGATAGCAAGCCCATTTCTGTCTCCAGATTAATGGCTTGGCTCTAAGAAATGGGAGGAGGTCCTGGGGGAGCGGGGAGGAGGGAGACACACACTTGGCAGGTGAGACACTGACCCTGAACAGCACTGTTCTTGGTGGGAAGCTCAGTCTAACTGGGGTGCGGGGAAGAGCCGAGAGGGCTCCCCAGAGGGCCTCCAGCCTCATCCTGGGCTCGGGGGAAAGGTCGGTGCTGGGTTCTGGCTAAGTGCATGGGGGAGCCAATGCTAGGAGTACCACAGCCCAAGCCCCTCCTCTGCTTCATATGTTCCCGAGGATCTGTGTGAGCGTGGGGGGTGGGTGGGGGAGGGGACACAAACAGCCATTTCAGAATGCAGGAGAGACCACATGCTTGTGGGAAAGGAGGCTGCCGTGGGGGTGGGCAACACCAACTAACCCTTGGCTCTGAAAAGAGGCAAGTGCTCGTTGGGGGTGGGGTGGAGTGGTGGAGGCAGGAAGCTGGGCCACCGCTCCAGCTCCTCTGTGGTCCCTCTCATGCTAACCTTGTCCCTGTGGGCAGCTGGCTGTGGCTGGGCAAGCTGCAGAGTTCTGTCTGGTCTCATCCGAGGACGGAGGCAGAGGGCATTCCCAGTCCAGAATCCTTTAGTCAAAGGCCCGGCAGGCTGGCAGTGCTCGTGCACTACAGAGCTGAGCACTACAGTTGCTCACTGACACCCCAAAGGTCTGCGACCCCAGGCTCTTTCGGGGTGGTCTCAGGCTTTGTCCTCCTGTTGTTCCAACCAGCCCTGGTCAGTGGGCAGCACCAGCACAGGTACACCCCGGGTCTGGCCCTGCAGTTAGGAGCTGTCTCTGGGATTCACAGGAGTAGCATTCTGCCAGCACTGAGCAGGGGCTGGGCCCAGGAGACCAGACGCTTGGAGAGGCTGGGGCCCCCAAAGTTATCGGAGCAATGGGATCCTATTCCGGCTGGGGAAGCAAGGGGGACAGCGATGGGGGCTGGGCATCGGCAGGCCCACCTGCTGCTGAGTACCAGTGGGCTGACAGCTGGCTGGAGACTGGGGGAGCAGCTGGGGAGCTGGTCAGTCTGCTGGCGAAGAGCGCCAAGGGCCGCACACTCAGAATCCTCAGATTCTAGGGGCCATCTTCCCACAGGAGACTGGATGGTCCAAGACCTTGCTAGTCTATCTGAGGGCTGCCAGAGAATGGGGTCTGGAAAGGAGAGGCAGTTCTGTGAGTGGCCAAGGACAGGCAGGAGGCTTGGGGTCTGGACTCAGGACACGGAAGAGGAAAGGAGAAAGTACGTCTGCTACCATTTGTCTTGGCACCACAGGGACTAGAGGCTCTTGGGACAAAAGATGAGGTGTTTGGCCAGATGGTCCCTGGCGGCTTCTCAGCCCTGCCACCCGGGAACTGGATCTTGTGCTTGTGGCTGGCGAGTGCCAGGTCTAGGTCAGAGCAGGGGTTCATAAGAGCTGGTCAGAAGGTACCTTGGGAGGGGGCACAGGCAAACCGGCTGGTTCCCCCCAGACATCTTGCTTCTGGTCCTGGCACCTCGCCAAGCCACTGCAGGGTCAGCTGATGCCTTTATGCTGTCCACTGCCCCCTTCTGCTCTGGGACACCCGGAGTCTGGCCGCCACTTCCCTTCTTCATCCCAGGAGATGCCGCCCTAAGATGGGCTGGCTGGCCGGGGGGTGGACTCTCAAGACAGAGGGGGTCACAATCAGAGCCAGGGACCCTGACAGCCTGTGGGGGTAGGCACACATCCTGTAGGAGGAAGGCCTCCCTGACAAGGGGGTCTGCTGGGTTGGGCTGAGCACAGGGAAGTGGCCTGTGCGGGGCACCTCTGCGGGGGTTTTGCGTGGTGAAGGTGGAGGGCTTTGTTTGACTTTGCCACTCCAGGGCAGCCAGGACTGTGTGCTTCTTTTGGCTCTAAGATCTGTGGTTAGGGTTGGTCACAGAATGGATCAGAGGCTGTTCCACTTGGTGGCTGTGCCCTTTGTCACTGCACAAGGCAAAACAGAGCTTCCTGTCCAAGCTGAATCCAGAGGCAGTGATACAGGCAACTGGGGGAAGCCCCGGCTCCAGGTGGGAGAGTGTCTGTCCTTGGTGGACAGCAGGGGAAAGCTGGGATCAGCAGGCCCCGAGGTCCTCACTATGCAATCCTTTCTGGAGTGGATAACTTCTAGAAAGGGAGAAAGACCTTGCTTGTCACTCATCTTGGAGGGACCCAGGGACTCTGTACACCCATTTTTAGCTAGTCAGAGTTGCTCTTTCTCCACCACGCCCACAGCCACCTCTTATATGAACTGGACAGAAGACAGTGGAAAGAAAGGTAGAACAGTACAGCCTGGCTCCTGACGCGGTTAACCTCGCTCGGGGTTCTGGGTGTGACTGGTTCTGCTCATTTGGGGAGGCTGACCCCAAGAAGGTATGTCCACAAAGCTGTGGCAAAGCCGTGGTGCTGGGCACTGGGAGGATGCTGGCCAGGGGGAGGCGCAGGGCATTAGATACGGCTGGGGTGGGACAAGCCCAGATCCCAGCGCTTCTGGTATTACACACGCCAAAGAGGAGACTGGGCAGGCAAGGCTCCTTGACTTGAACGGGGCTCCCTCAGAACAGTGTGGGGAGTGGCTGCCTAGTAGGGAAGGGGCTCACCACATGGAGCAAAGGTCTCCTGGCAGTATTCACAGAACCCCCTTCTTCTCCTGGCCATGGTGCATGCAGCTGGCCGCAGGTTTGGTTCCCCATGCTTGAGTTCTCTGGGGAGGGTACAGGGTGGGGACATGTGGTCATTGCTGGGGCCCTCAAGGAAGGCTGCTGCTTAGGACCTGGAGCTCAGACTAGGGAGGGGAAGACCGAGATGGCATAGAGGGCAGGCCTGACCTACATCTGATACCACATAGGCCAGGTGATACGAGAAGCGCCGGGGAGGCCTCCCTGCGGGCTCTCTCATCTGTGCTCACCTCACTCGTGTGTCTGACACCACAGGTGACAGTGAGTGGGAGCCGAGAACCCTTGTAAGGAGTTCCTCCACATCTACAGCCATTGGCCTGCAAGATGGAGGCTCTCAAGAGCAGGAAGGGCCGTTCTGTCCTCAGCTTCTCCGGCTTTAAATCTCCCTTCTCTCGCGCTAGCTGGGTCCTCTCACAGCTGCCACTTTTTACTCAGGACTTTCAAACCTCCTCCTCCAAGCCTGGCACAGTGGTTCACATCTGTAATTCCAGCACTGGGGAGGCCATGCAGGAAGGTCGAGAGTTCGAGGCTAGTCTGGTCTAAAAGATGAGACACTATCCCAAATGAAATAAATAAGGCAAATCTCTTCTACAAACTGCTCTCTGGAATTTCAGCCCCGTATTGCAAATAGCCTAAAGGGTTTTGATGTTTGGTGTCCTAGCAAATTCAGCAAGTCCAAAACATTCCCTTTTAAGGACTTTCTAAGTACAACTCAAACTGAAGAAACACACAGAAATGTTGATAAATTTGACTATACACAAGGTATATACACAGCAGAAATCATCAGCACAGTTAAAAGCGAAGCCACCAATTACAAAGATACTCACAAGTTAATAAAACAGGGCTCAGCACCCTAATGAACAGAGGGCTCCTTACAAGTCACAAAGGGAGTGATCACTAGCCCAGGAAAATGAGCAGAGTATGAAGAGGGTTCACACAGAAAATTCAAAGGAGCAAACAGGACAATCCGTCTAACACGGTTCATTGTAAGAAAAACTAAAGATTAGATAGATCTGTTCCGACAACTGTCCCAACACACGCTCCAATATATCAGATTGCCGGGGGCCAACAAGTCTGACAACGTACAGCGCTTAGCAAGGGGAAGTGGAAACAGTGATTGTGTGTGTGTGTGTGTGTGTGTGTGTGTGTGTGTGTGTGTGAATGTGTGGTGAGAAAAGCCATTTGGCCACACTGATGACAATTACGAATGCAGGCACCCTCTGATCCAGCATCGCCACCTCAGGATTTTATGACACAACTACACATTTCTTATAAGTACGTATTTGCTGCAGCTAATCTGTGTCCATCAGCAAGAAACTGGTTAAACAAAGGACAGCAGATTCAGGCAATGGCATATTCTGCAGCCAAAAAAAGTGTGTGTGTGTGTGGGGGGGGGGATAAGGACACTTTTTAGTAGTAGTTATAAATTATTGAAGCAGCACCACACGGGCAGGTGCCACTTGTCCCCCGGTTCAGGAAAGCAGTTGGAGAGGCACGCACTCATGCAGAACCGGAGGACGGATGCAGGACACACTTTTACTTTAAGCCTTTCATAATTCTTGAATTTTGAGTGCATATGTGTGCTAAATATACATGTATGCTATATATATATATATATATATATATATATATATATATATGTATACATATATATCTCTATCTATGGAAGGAGAGAGAGGAGTCCCACTAAGTAGCCATCATCTTCCTACTTCAGGAGTGCTAGGTTACATGTGCACCATGCCCAGCTTAATTATTTTAAAAATGTAAAAATTATTCTTATATACACACATTGTGGGGTGCTATATGCACAGAGAACCCTGCTTTGGCCCAACCCCTCACTAGGCTCCTCACAGTCAAACACCAAAATCACATTGCTTCATTATCCCACCTCCCCCTTACAGCTTCTACAACTCCACTGTAAACTCGGGGCCATCCCAGGCCTAGCTGCTGCCTGGACACCTAGGTCACCGGTGTCTGGTCCCTTTTGTACCTGCTAGGAAAGGATGAGAGCACTTGGACTCAGCCTCAGCTCTTGACACCCCGCCCCCCCCCGACACACCCTTCATCTACGACCACTGTGTCTGTCCTTCTGCCCTCTCGCTGCACTGTTTCCTGACCCACAGCTTCCATCTGCTGACGGGCTCTTCTTGGCTTTTCAGGCACTTTGGCTGAGCTTTCCTTGTTCTGCTGCTGGACTCCGTGAACTAACCTTGCGACTCAAGTTAGAAAGGGTCTGAAAAGCCGGGCTGGTGGCGGCACATGCCTTTAATCCCAGCACTCGGGAGGCAGAGGCAGGCGGATCTCTGTGAGTTCGAGGCCAGCCTGTCCTACAGAGCGAGTTCCAGGACAGACTCCAAAGCTACAAAGAGAAACTCTGTCTCAGAAAAAAAAAATACACACAAAAAGAAAGGAAGGAAGGAAGGAAGGAAGGAAAGAAGGAAGGAAGGAAGGAAGGAAGGAAGGAAGGAAGGAAGGAAGGAAGGAAGGAAGGAAGGAAGGAAGGAAGGATCTGAAAATATGCCAGGCATGTCCTGTAACCCCAAACTTGGGAAGCTGAGAGGCCCCAGGGCAATGAGGTCAGGGCCAGCCTGGGTTACACAGAAAGACTGTGTGTGTGTGTGAGTATGTGTGTGTGTGTGTGTGTGTGTGTGTGTGTGAGAGAGAGAGAGAGAGAGAGAGAGACAGAGACAGAGACAGAGACAAAGACAGAGAGAGACAGAGACAGGGAGAAAGAGACACATAGAGAGAGAGACTCTGTGGAGAGACAGAGACAGACAGACAGAGATACAGGGACACACACAGAGACAGTATGAATAAAAGAAAGGGCCCTAGAGGATGCCTAATCATCACCTGAGCTGATTCCTTCTTTTTATTTTTAGTTTTTCAAGACAGGGTTTCTCTGTGTAGCCTTGGTTGTCCTGGAACTTGCTCCGTAGCCCAGGCTGGCCTCAAACTCACAGAGATCAGCCTGCCTCTGCCTCTCAAGTGCTGGCATCAAAGGTATGTGCCACCACTGCCTGGCCTGAATTCCTTCTTTACTTGGTCAGTGAAAGCTCAAATTCTCAGGACCTGCAGAGTGGGAAGACTGACAAGCCTGTGTGTCACCATGACCACACAGTCCAGCAAGTGACCCCCCTCCACACACCATGACCACACAGTCCAGCAAGTGACCCCCCACACACACACCATGGTCACACAGTCCAGCAAGTGACCCCCCCACCATGGCCACACAGTCCAGCAAGTGACCCCCTCCACCATGGCCACATAGTCCAGCAAGTGATCGCCCCCCCAAAGCCCTTAGTCAGTCCTCATTTTTAGCCCAAGTGTCAAGCTTTGGTGTGACCTGAAATCACCCGTGAGCTTTTAAGACCGCGTCTTTGGGGTTCTAATACCAGAGAGCCTAAGCATGTGTGTGAGTCCATAATGCAGGGATCAAACCCGCGGCTTTGTACATGGCAGGAAAGTGTCCTCCACTGAGCTCCAGCCCCAGTGCTCAGCCCTTGGTTCAATGTCCTACCTTGTAGCTCAGGTTGGCCTTGAACTCGTTATTCCCCAGTCTTTGCTAAGGTTACAGGTGTGCACCGTCATGTCTGACTCTTACCATTGCAGATTCTGATCTGCAGGTACAGGCAAGAGTCCAGAACATGCATATATTAAAGATAGCTAGGGGATCCGCTTTGTGTCTGTGTGTGATGTAAGTGCACAGAGACACAGAGAGGCCGGGAAGGTCACTGGTTGTCTACTCCTCCACTCTCCACCCGTCCCCTGAGGCAGAGTCTACTACCGAACCTGGAACTAAGCTGGCAGTCAGAACACCCAGGCGATTCTCCTGTTTCCACCCCCACAGTGCTGGGGTTCATGTGTGCACAGTCACGCCAGGCTTTTCTTACAGGTGCTGGGGATTCAAACTCAGGTCCTCACGCTTGTCCAGACAGTGTTCTTACCACTAAGCCATCTCCTCTGCCCCTGGGACCTGCATTTTCAGGAGAACCCAGGGCACTCAATGATGGTGGTTTTATAAATCTGAATTTCAGAAAACAGCCTATTGCTCTCTGGACACTTAAATCAAATTCTTCGAGCCGGGTGGTGGTGGCACAAGCCCTTAATCCCAGTGCTCAGGAGGCAGAGGCAGGCGGATCTCTGCGAGTTCGAGGTCAGCCTGGTCTACAGAGTGAGTTCCAGGACAGGCTCCAAAAGCTACACAGAGAAACCCTGTCTCAAAACAAACAAACAAACAAACAAAATCAAATTCTTCAGAAGGGTAAATAAATAAATAAAGAGTCCTAGTGTGTCTCTTCTCTGGGCTAAGTTCCCAGAAGAGACTTTGCCAATGGAGCAAACAGATGGCCAGTGCCAAATCTGACCAGCAGGCCCCTGAGGGTGGACCTTGGCCTGTAACCATCCGTGGCACTCAGGAATCAGAAGGACCTACCTGGTACAGTGTGAGCTGTCTGGGGGTGACTGGAGTCTCTGGGTCCCGGAAAAGAAACTTCAGGAAAGGATTTAGACAGATGGTGGCAAGGACAAAGCTTCCTGAAACACACGAAAACATTCCGTTTGACTCCAGTGCTGGGAGGGGAAGGGGCTGAGGAGGGCACAGAGTCCAGACCTGGGGCCTCCGGCCTTAGCTCCGCCTCCAGCCTTAGCTCCGCCTCCAGCCTTAGCTCCTCCCACTTTGTCCCTTGACCCACACCGACTTCTGAAGGTTCTAGTCTGGCAGAACCTAAACGGACGATTTAAGCGACAGCAGTGATTTCCATGTCCTTTTGTTTGTTTGTTTGTTTGTTTGTTTGTTTGTTTGTTTATTTAAACCACCTTGGTAGGTGGCTTCTAAAAAGAAAGATTTTTTTGGGGGGGGGAGATAAGAGTCTCATTATGTAGCCCAGGTTGGCCTTGAATTCACTGTGTCTGAGACTGGCCTCAAACACTTGATCCTTTTTACCCCCACCTCCCAAGAACAGGGATTATAATTATAAGCCACCACACCCAATTGGGGCTGCTGTTGAGTAGGGAGGAGAGGTATGGTGAAGGTTCTGGATAGCTAGACCGAGTGCTTCTGGCAGTTTGCCTCAAGTTGCAAGCATTCAAGACACTTCTAGGGCCAGAAATGATTTGTGTGTATTTGGCAAACCCTGCTGACTGAGGTCAATGCCAGGCACACCATTTGGTTATACCAGCGTGTGCTCTGGAGGGGCAGAGTGCAGTCCCATGGGCTCCTGTGGGTAAGACGGAAGTCTGTGGCCTCAGGAGGGAATTAAGCAATGAGTCTTCTCGGATGTCAAGGAGAAACGAGTACCCACCGCTCTAGCACCCTTCCATCTTCTTTCTGAGTGACATTTTGTCTCTGCGTCTACAGACTTGAGGTTGGTCAGGCTAACGAGCTTTGTCGAGCACATGCTACAGAAGAAGAGCACATGAGAAGAATCATAAGACAGCTTGGAGCTGCACCGTCTCCGCTCTGGCCTACGACCCAGGGGCAGACGAGCTAGGCCCCCCTCTGTCGGCAATGCTACTTGTGACTGCCTACACTTTCAGCTGCAGCCCCAGGACCAGTGTCCTGCGTCCACCCTGGTTGTGAAGGAGATCGGGGTTGAAGGACACGTGCTCAATCTCACTGGAAAGGCAGTGTCCGAATCCCCTCCCTGTGTTCTTTCCATGTACTTTGGGCCAACAAAGTTGCTCTGTATGGCCTTCAGACTCTGGGCCCTTTGGGGGAGTGAGTACCATGCGAGCTCCAGGCCGTCATTAGCTGCCATCCCTGAGACTGAAGGGCACAGAAAATTCTTATCCCAGGTAAACATGGACTTAGTTCCTTCAGTAAACTAAAAGAATTATAGATTTGCACATACTTTTGACCTAGCACTTTCTGAAGACTCAATAAGCAATATGGCTCCTAAGAGTTCATCAGGTTAATATCACCAATCAGTAGCTGTCCTGTTTTTGGCAAGACAGGCCATTATGGAGGACAGAGAGGTCAAGGTGGAGGGAACACTGGGCAGGGCAGTTTAGGGATCCCGACTTCGATTCTTGCACCACAATTGGCTAGGAAAATGGCAGTACACCTATCCCTTGTACTAGGCCAAGGATGGGCTCTCATGTTTTCACCCAGCAAGGCTTCACTGAGTGTAAGGTAAACCCCAGTGCCACGTCCCACACCTTCAGTCAGGAGGGTACTGCTATGACCACTCCAGTAATAATTCAACAGTAAGCATCGGCATATACCCTGGCAGAACGCAGCAGCAATAATGAACCTGCCCCGCTCATAAAAACAGAGTATTAAATGGAGGTAATTCATACAGGATCGTTAGCCTCTGACTCATCTCAAGGAGTATCAGATGTTACCTCCCCTAGTCTGTGTGAGTCCTCTGACAGTGGGAACACCAAAGTGCAGGTACATGTTCTGTGTCAGCTGGGGTCCCATGAGTACCTTTCCCTCCTTCCTGTGGGGACAAGCAGAGAGCAGGGAGGTCTCACTCACCAACTCCCACCTTCATCTTTGAGGAATGGTGCCTTCAGTCTGGCCACTGTAAAGGGAAGAATGCAGGCATTAGCTGCCCGTCTGTCCCAGGGCAGGCTGCACCACACACACCGGAAACTCTCGGAGAGGCATGTCCCTGCCAAAGCTTAAGAGCCCATGCCGTTCCATTTGGCAGAGGCAAAGCACTCCCCACCCCCACCTCCTCAGCCTCTAGCCCAGGGAGACAGAGTCACATTACTGAGGGACAGGCCACAGGGTTGCCCTATAACCCTAGACATGCCCTCCCTCAGTAGGACGCAGGACTTGTGTGGGGTTCTCAGGCTGCCAACCTCCAAGGATGCCATCTCTGTCAGAAAGTTGGCTGATGGGAGTAACCAGGCCCTGGTAGTTTCTAGTAAAAGCAAGGTTGAAGTCCTACAATGTACCAGGTCCTTCCTAGACCTTGGATCCAGGTGCCTCAGAATCCCGAGGGACCTGAGAACATTGTCCAGGCAGAGGTCTCCATGAAGACTTTTGTTTTTGTTGTTTGTTTGTGGGGGAAAAACAGAGACAACAGGGGATGAAGAAAGCGTGGTGCCAGGGAGGTATGGTGTCACAGCTGAAACCCCAGCACCGAGGCCGCCAGGTAGGCGGACCACCACACGTCTGAAGCCAGTCAGGGCTACACGCTGAGACTCCATAAAGCAAACAAAAACAGGAAAAAGCAGTGTTTGTGATTTTAATAGCAGGGTGGGTGACAGGTGAAAACCACCGCAGGTGAACGCTGCTTCCGGATAATCAGGGCAAAGGAAAGGGGGCCGAAGAGACAAAGGGGATCAACAAACCCTGAGACTCACCCTACCAGCTAGTTTACAAAAGCTCACGGGCACCAAGACCCATTCCATCTACTCAGTAACCGGGAGTGCTGCTCAAGACGAAGCCGGCAGGCTGGAAGCCAGAACTAACAGCCGCATTTTCCCCAGAGGAGCTGGTGACCCCCAGGCCCCGCCCCACTGGGGGCCATCCTGACACCCAAGCAAAAGGCGGCCTTTTCTCCTCGGTTAACGGCTCCATTAATCACTTTCAGGGGATAGTTTCTCGTCTCTCTAATTAACTAAGACAGTGATTAAAATCAAGTCCCCCATAGAATTCCTTGAATTTAGAGCATGAGGAAGTGCCAAGCAACTTTTCTTAGCTCCTGCTTGTTCACGGATAAATGCCACCTAAAGAGCAGCTTTGGGAGACGCATCCAGGGGAGAAAGCTCCCGCTGTCCAAGAGGAGCCGGGAGACAGAGTCCATCAATCTGCCTGTTTGTCAGTTTCAGAGAGTTTGGCATTTCTGAAAACGGTAGGCAGCTGTCAAACTGCCCACCCCAAACTGCTACTGAATCAGAAGGAAAAGGATGCCGAACTTCAGTGCGGAACAGCCCGGAGCTGCAGGAGCCAGAGCTCCGGCATGGGGTCCTGGCTCTCGAGGAGAAGCCGGGGCCTAGCAGCTTTGCACTTGCACTTGGATGGACTTCTGTCTCCCCAGAGATCCAAGGCTTGAGCCCTGGAAACATGAGGGGAAACACAAGCTGGACTTGCTTCCTGCCACAGAGAAGTGAGCAGATGCTGCCTCCGAGGGAGCCGTGGGGAAGTGTTTATAGAGGGAGGGATCGCAATTAGATGAGGGAAAACTTCCACACTGACCTTTCTGTGTTCTTGACTCTGTTCCTGGACGTGTTCCCTAAAGGGGAAGGGAAAATAGGTTAAGGATGTAAGGGAACTATGGGGGGTCGAGGATCTGGGCCTGTAGGGTGAGTTGCTGCACTTTGCCTCCTGGAGGGCTGCAGACAGTCTCAGGCTGTGAGCTGGAGTGGACCTGGGCAGAGCCTCCCAGGGCCACGATGAACATGAGGCCTCTGCGGATCCTGCTGGTGGCTCACTGGATGACAGAAGGTGAGCAGAGCGGAGCAAAGCTTTGAGATTCCTCAGGCCCAGGTGGGAACTGGAGCTGCCCTACTGTGAGGAGTGTGACCCCATTGAAACTAAAGACGTCAAGGCCCCACAGAGTGGGCGATCACGACAGCTTTTATTTTCTAGAAGCTGCTGCCTTCCCAGACCACTTTCTAGGACCAGGGCAAAGACACTGGACATTCACTTCCCAGTTCCTGTTATGTAAGTCAAAACCAATATTAAAATCAAGGTCAATTTGGGCTGATATTCAAAACTGAATGGGGGGGCGGGTGCTGGAGAGATGGCTCAGCTGTTAAGTGTGTACTAACTACTCTAGCAGACTCAGTTCCCAGAACTCACACAGGGTAACTCACAACTGCCTGTAACTCCAGCTCAGGGGGCTCTGTGGCCTCTGGACCCCTACAGCACCTGTACTCATGTGCACATACCCACACAGACACATAATTAAAAATAAATCTTAAAAAACATAGGTGGAGGGGGCTGGAGAGATGGCTCAGCAGTTAAGAGCACTGACTGCTCTTCTAGAATACCCAGGTTCAATTCCCAGCACCCACATGGCAGCTCACAACTGTCTGTAACTCCAAGGTCTGACACCCTCACACAGAGATGCATGCAGGCAAAACACCAATGCATATAAAATAAAAATAATTGAAAAAAAATAGATGGAAACAAAAAAAACAAAGAGCTGGGGAGCACAGATAATATTCAAAACTCATTCCAAAAGACTCCAAAATGATTACATTAAAGCAAAGTAAAATACCATGTATTCTCACAAAAGGATTTTTTTTTTTTTTTGGTCTGTTGTTTCTGAGTTCAAACCCAGGGTTTGGTGTGTGGTAGGCAAGTGCTCTCTCTGAGTAAAACCCTTAGCCCAGCAGGGGAGGATTTCTGACATATTGGTTCTTTGTGCATGAAGTCCTAGAGCCCTGATAATCTGTTCTTACTGCTTATATCAGGGAGAGTCCTGCAGCTAAGGAACGGGAGTTGGAGGTGGAAACTTTCTCGTAAAAATCTTTTCTAATTTTTAATATAAACCTATTAAACAGAAGCAAACCACCCCTACCACCACACACACACACAGACTCCTCGACTTGGGCTGTGGAAAGGGCAGTGTCAGGCTGAGCCCTCCATTGGTCTGGATGTGGTCTGGGATTGCTAGTTCTGCTCTGGACAACACACAGGTCTGAAGGTTGAATTCTTCCTGAGTTACGCTTGATAAAGACACCGTGATCTTACGTGAGCCTGGGCTCTCTTAGTAATTTTTGCTTTTGTTTTTGTTTTTGAAGACAGGGTTTCTCTATGCAGCCCTGGTTGTCCTGGAACTCTCTTTGTAGACCAGGCTGTCCTCGAACTCACTGAGATCTGCCGGCCTTTACCTCCCAAGTGCTGGGATTAAAGGCATGCACCACCACTGCCGGCTCTCTTAGTATTTTTATTTAATTAGCCATTTAATTTTTTTGCTGCCTACTGAACCTGGGCCCTTGTGCCTGCCAGGCAAGCACTCTACCACTGAGCCACATACCCAGCCAAAGCTTGGGCTCTCTATGGGGGTATACGTGGTTCTAACCCCAGAGAAGGAAAAGCCAAAGAAGCGTTCGTTCGGAAGATGGCAGAGTGGAGCTACAGCACCCCTCCCCCGCCCATGCAATCTGTAAGCTCATTCCCAGGCCAAGAGCTCTTCTTCCTGGCCAGCAGGGCAGGTGCATTTGCACGTTTTATCTGGGCCAGGACAACCCGGAGGCAGCCCCTGGCCCAGGCCACAGTGAATGTTTCAGCACTGTACACGACCCACAGCAGGGAGAAAAAGCCATAGACACGAAGCAGTCATGTGACTGCAGCGCTGAATGGACAGGAAACACCAACCCGGGTGGTGGAATGACCAGTTGTCCTCTGGACCAGGATGACCTGTCTTCGCCTTTTGTTCTTGTCTCTCTGTCCACAGAGACCCGAAGGACAGCTCTGCGTGTACACCTGCGTGTCTCTGAAGAAGACATGGGCTCCGGGCAAGGCTTCCACCACCTACCCAGTACAGAACCTTTCCTGTATGGGCTCTAGCCTGGCCTGCTAGACCACACCAGCCTTGTCTGCCATCTTGTGGCTAGATGTCACCTCTGCATTTAGTGACAACAGGTAAGGACCTCGGTCTCTACCCCGTGGAAAGATGGTCTCATGCTCTTATAGAGTGATGGATGCAATTCCAGTTTGGACTGAGGTGCTTCCTGATTCACCAGGGGCTATAAACTATAACCACGGTGGTGCCTGTGGGAGAGGCCTGATTCACACAGGTGTGTCCTCAGGTGGAAGACCCAGCGGGCACTCAGGTCAAGTCAGAGAGGGCTGACATGTCAGTGAGAAGAAGTCTCCTCATGCCAGACCAGGAAAGTCTTCCCCAAGCCTTGGGGTCCTGGAAGATCTTGACACACCCAGGGCCTGTCTGGAGCAAGGCCCTAACATAGATCAGGGAAAACCGGGTTCAAAGTGGAGCGGGGTAAGATCTCTCACCGCCAGCTCTTCTAGACAAGTATTCAGGGTCAGCTTCTCCCACAGCAGACAGAACTAACAGTTAGGCTACCCGGGGCTGGAATATGGGCCCCGATGCTCATTCTGGAGTAGACTGTGGAGTTTACACAACTCTTCCTCATTTGTCCAACAGAGCAGAACTAGGTGGGTATTAAGTTGGTGATTCCTAGCATAGAATAAACAGAATGAAGAATGGCCACCAGTTTCAGGATTACTTCTTTACTCTTTTATTTTTTTTTTAAAGATTTATTTACTTATTTATTTGTGTATACAGCGTTCTATCTGCATGCATGCCTGCATGCCAGAAGAGGGCACCAGATCTCATTTTAGATGGTTGTGAGCCACCATGTGGTTGCTGGGGATTGAACTCAGGACCTCTGGAAGAGCAGCCAGTGCTCTTAACCTCTGAGCTGTATCTCCAGCCACTACTTCCTTACTTTTAAGATGGGACCAGAACAACCATTGAGTTAGCTGGAGGACAGCTATATTAATTAAAATGTTCCGGGTCCTTGTCTAATGCTTCAAACCACAACCCACACTTGGGCTATCTGCTACCCCGCTTTCCCAAACCCTCCCACCCTGTGGAGCCACAGAGTAATTGAGCATTTCTGTTGTCCAGCCATCGGACGCCTACAGGCCCACCACTCCTCTCAACGGTGACATTCCTAGTCACAGCAACCAAGCTCCCCTCCACAGGTATCCGAGGGGTTAGTAGTGCCATCCACATGCAGGAGCCCCACTCCCCAGGAGCGGGAGCTGGTCAGGAGGCTGCTGCTCCCAGCGCCACCTCCACCGTCTCTTCCCCCAAACGACACAGCAGAGACTTGAGGCTGGAGCATGATGGGGATGGGTGCATGTAGCTTTGAGAGCCCTTGGTCATCTGAGGGGGGACGCCCTGGGAAGGCACAGGAGAGAGCATAGTGCCTGGAGACTCCACCTCAACCCCCAGGAAGGCACGCACACCCTAGCCTCCACACAGGCAGGCCAGGATGGTGGGATGGACTGGTGACGGGGCCTCCTGTTTGGATCTGGCTGCTTTGTGACTTGACTCTAAGGAGGGCCTCTGTGAGGAAGGCTGTCTGCACACCACAAGCACATATGTGAATACCAGGAAGCTATGCTGGCAGCACCATCTCCCTCATTATAGTCAGGGGCCTGATTGCTTCATATATATGTACACACACACACACACACACACACACACACACACACACACACACACGGGTTTGTACTATGATGCTGAGGTTGGCCATGAACTTCTGGGCTGAAACAGTCCTCCTACCTTAGCTTCTTGAGTAGCTGGGACTTCAGGCCCATGGCCACTGAGCCTAGTTTCAGGCATCCTGGTTTTACTTTAATGAGTCTTCTCTTTAATGGCATGTGTTCATTTGAACCACGTGTACGGCTTACCTGTACTGTAGTACTGGGTAACCACACATTGCCTGGTACTGTCCACTTGGTCCCCTCTTGCCCCAGTTCACCTGGCCTCTGATGGCCTTCTGCAGTAGCTCCTTCCCTCTGCCCAAAGACATCGGACAGGGAAAGAGCGGTGAGGCATTCCATGGAAGCACAGCACATATACAGACGTTTACAGTGAAGCGATACCTTGGGTTATGTCCCTCAGAAACCTGGAGCAGTGACAGCTGAGGACAGGCACAAATCAGAGTCCAGAGAATCTTTAGGAGGAAACGATAAAGCTACATGTAAGTTTAAGCTACCCAAAGGGAGCTTCAATCTATACCCTGGTAGAGAAAGCCTCTGTGATTCATCTGTGGTCAAACCATCACAGACATTTGAAGACTCTCTTTAAGCATTTCTCCATAAGTAAAATAGTAAATGCTTCATTTGAGGTTTCTGTTTTTTTTTTCCTTTTGGTTTTTGAGACAGTTTCTTTGTATAGCATTGGCTGTCTCAGAACGAGCTGTGTAGACCAGTGGCTTTGAACTTACAGAGATCTGCCTGGCGTGTCCCCCCAACCCCCCCACACCCTCCCAGAATTTTTTTAATTTTGTGTTTTGGAAGCCTTGTCCTAATGTGATGGCATAGTGTATCTTCATAGAAGTTTTATTATTAGCCTAAATTAAACAACAAATAAGAATGTAAGCCTTAGAGGAAGAGAGCCAGAGTATACTCTAAGCTGAAAATGAGACATGGGGCTGGAGAGATGGCTCAGCAGTCAAGAGCACTGGCTGCTCTTGCAGAGGACAGGGGTTTGGTTCCCAGAACCCACATGGTGGCTCACAGCTGTCTGTAACTCCAGCTCCAGGGGATCTGATGCCCTCTGCTGGTCTCTTTGGGCACTGCACACACACTGGTGTACAGATACACACGCAGGCAAACACTTACACACATAAAAGTAAGAATTTAAACATAACAACAACAAAAGCAAGACATGTAGCTCAGCTGGCAGAGCGCTTGCCTGTCAGGCACCAAGTCCTGGGTTCAGTCCCCAGTCTGGTATAAAACCAGGTGTGGTGGCATATGCCTGTAATCTCAACACCCGAAGACGGAGATAGAAAGGTCAGAAGTTCAAAGGTCACCTTTGGCTACATAGCAGTTCAAGGCTGTATAAAACACTTGCTTCAAAAAACAAAAATAAAGAAAAGGGATGTGTGTATTGTATTAACTCTAGGCCCTCCCTTCAAGAGACCAGGGAGAGGGAAACTGCTGTGGCTCCAGGACACTCCTGTCCAAGCCCAGAACAATTCCAACCAGCTTTTTGGCTTTGCAAAGGACTCTTCTATTTCTAAACCTTTAACTCTGAAGTCCCCATAAAACGTGACATAGTGGACAGGCAGTGGTAAAAGTGAAGGAGGAGGAGAGGGGGAGGGAGAGGAGGGGGAGAGGAGGAGGGGGAGAGGAGGAGGGGCACAGTATAAAAGAAACAGCAAGGATAGCAGGATGCTGAGCAGCTTAGACCCAGGGCTATGATCAAACAGTCTCAATCCCTGAAAGCAAACGCTATGAAACCAACCCAGAGGCTGCCAGAGTATTCACCAAAGCCTACTTCCTTTGCTTACTGAACATGTTTTCCTACCCCGCAAAGGTCTTCCCCACTCTCGGGGTTTCTGTGAAGTCCTGACGTGCCTGTCTTTTAGACTGTCCAGGGTAGTTCTGACCTCCCTGGGGCTGGGGCAGTCTGCAGCTTGTCCCATCATTCTGTGCCTTTGTTTCCCTGTGGCTGAACACAATGTAACTGACTTCTTTGCTTAGAAAACCCTCAATTACCTGAAACCAGATCACAGGGATGGCTGAAAACCAAAAAGCAGATGTAGAATTGTCAATATCAGGAGGCTGGGAAAGGAAATCTTTGCTGCCAGAAGTTCCAGAATCAATGTCTTTAAATAGACTAAATGCAGTTCTGAACTGAAGCCCTCAAGAAGACGTCATCCTGAAATGGGATAGGGTTTATATATATACAATTCAGGTTTTCCTCCAGGAACTGCTGTCCCTGACCCAGCAGCAGAAGGCCATATGCTTTGAGTCCTTTGACAATGTGAGATTACATGAAGAAAGGACATTAAGAGCGGTTGGTGGGCCATTGTTTTTCTGTGTTATACAATGAGCGAGACATGGCGACCCACGCCTTTCATCCCAGCACTCAGATCCCGTGTCTACATAGTGAGTTGTATGCCAGTTAGTGTATACAGTCAGTCTCAGTCAGACCCCCACCACCACACACGCACACACACACACACACACACACACGCACGCACGCATGCACGCACGCACACACTCACTCTCTTTGCCTCAATCCCTCTGTCCAGCACAAATCCCAATTGGTATTAATAACAAATTTGTCCAGCACAAATCCGTGTGGGAGAAAAGACGGACATAAACAAGGTGTAGTGGCAGGCGAGTAACAAGTGGCATTCTGGGAAATGAAAAGCCCTGCTGTACACATCTGTCCAGTTCTGGGGAGTAAGGCTCCCTGTGCCGATCTGAAGCTACTGACACCGTGAAAATACAAGATGAGGATGCTCCAGAAGTGTGACTTGATGGGACACCTGGCGCTTAGGTTATTAGATTCCTTGAAAAGCTAAACAAAGAGTTATCATAGGGCCAACAATTCCACTCCTAAGTATTTGTTACCAGAGAACTGAAAACAGGCATTCAGACAGATATCCACGTAATGTTCCCTATAGGACTGTCCACAATAGCCAAAATGTAGAAAATCCAAACAGCTGAGTGAATAAGCAAAATGTAATCTATAGGACTGGAGAGATGTCTCAATGGTTAAGAACACATTGCAGGGTGATAAGTGGTTAATCCCAGCAGTTGGGAGGTAGAAGCAGGTGGATCTCTGAGTTCGAGGCCAGCCTGGTCTAGAGAGCAAGTTCCAGTATGGCCGGGATACACAGAGAAAGCCTGTCTCAAAAAAACTAAGAAAGAGGGGCTGGAGAGATGGCTCAGAGGTTAAGAGCACTGACTGTTCTTCCAGAGGTCCTGAGTTCAATTCCCAGCAACCACATGATGGCTCACAACCATCTGTAATGAGATCTGGTGCCCTCTTCTGACCTGCAGGGATACGTGCAGACAGAACACTGTATACGTAATAAATAAATCTTAAAACAAACAAACAAACAAAAAAACCAAAAAAAAAAAACCAAAAACAACAACTAAGGAAGGAAGGAAGAACAGGTACTGCTCTTCTAGCAGACCTGAATCTGGTTCCCAGTTCCAGAGGAGCTGAAGCCTCTGGCTTCTGAGGACACCTGCGCTCAGATGCACATACCCACACAGAGATACATACACATAATTAAAAATAAATCTTGGCTGCATGGCGGCGGCGGCGGCGGCGGCGGCGGCGGCGCACGCCTTTAATCACAGCACTCAGGAGGCAGAGGCAGGTGGATCTCTGTGAGTCCGAGGTCAGCCTGGTCTAGAGAGCGAGTTCCCGGACAGCCAAGGCTACATAGAGAAACCCTGCCTCAAAACAAGCGAACAAAATCTTTAACATGTATATATCCCTACAATGGCTATATTATTCAAAAGAAATGAAGTTGTGATAGGCACTGCAACATGGATGATCCTTAAACATTATACTAAGACCAGGCATTGTGGAACATGACTATGGTTCCTGCACCCAAGAGGCTGAGACAGGACACAAGTTCTAAGCCAGGCTGGCCTGTAAAGTGAGACTGTCTCTACAAATAAGCAAATGAATAGTTTTAAACTATGGAGAATAAGCCAGACACAGAAGGACAAGTGTCAGGTCTGATATGAAGGATCTAAACAAACTCATGGAGCTGGAAAGCAGATGGTAAATGATCAGGGCCATGGACAGGAAACATAGGAGTTATTAGGTAATATCTACAGATTCTGTTCATGGTGCTCAGGAAGTTTTGAAACAATGTTGATGGTTTCATGGTATTGTAAACATTAATTAATGTACACCAGGAAATGCCTAAATGAGCATGACACAGTAGCACCTGGTCTTCATGGACAGACTTTGTCTCAAAAAACCAAAAAACGCTGGGTGTGGTAGTTCACACCTTTAATCCCAGCACTGGGAAGGTAGAGGCAGGCAGATCTCTATGAGTCTGAGGCCAGCCTGGTCCACAGAGTGAGTTCTAGGACAGACAGGACTACATAAAAAGACCCTGACTCAAAAAACAAACAAAAACCCACCACCAACAAAAAGGGCTAAATTGGTATATTTTGTTGCGTTTTAAAAAATCTTTAGAGGATGGAGAGATGGCTCAGTGTAAAACATTCGCCCCATGAACATGAGGCCCTGAGTCCAAATTCTCAAAATTCATGTAAGCAGCACCCGATAATCCCAGTGCTCCTACATGCCCCCACACATACACATAAAAAATAAATAAAAATGTAAAACCCTTAGTGTTATAGCTTAGGATTTATTTATTTTCTTTAAAATTTTTATTTATTTATTAATGTATATGGGTATTTTGCTGTGTGTGAAGTACGCATGGAGGCCAGAAGAGGCATCAGATTCCCTGGGACTGCAATTAAAACTGGTTGTGAGCTACCATTTGGGTGCTGGGAATGAAACCTGGACCCTCTACAAGAGCCCATTCCCTTAACTGAAGAGCCACCTCTCCAGGCCCTAAATCCTTTTTCATCGTGTGTGTGTGTGTGTGTGTGTGTGTGTGTGTGTAGTTACAAGCACAAGGGCCAGGAGAGGCCCGAAAAAGGTGTCAGTACCTCTGGAACTGGAGTTACGATAGGATTGAGTCCTCTGCAAAAACAGTACATGCTCTTAACTGCTGAGCCAGCTCTCTGGTCCCTCAAACTACAGCTCAAAGGACGCATCTACCTTCTTCAGAAATAAGCACTAGAAGGTAGTAGTGGGGCAACAATCATCTTACATAATTGTGGCAAATTGTTCAACGGCCACACATTCCTCCCATACCAGCATATCCACACCTTTTGCAGCATGCCTGCCGCTGTTTCTCCCATCAGGAGACAGAGCCCACATTCCCATATCTTAAATCTAACCTATTTTCATTCACAGAGAAAAGTGGAAATAAGATATGTGTTTACTCTGCAGCCTAGGCCTGACAGCTTCCCTTTTGGGAAGGATGTTTATGACTACTGCATAATCAGCTGGTCTAGCTTACTGGAGACACAATACACATGTGTAACATGTTAGAAGTTTCTCGTACGATGTATAGAAACTCACATAGTGTCAGGTGTATAGTCCTTCCCATAAATACTCAAAGCAGAACTTACTCACCCACCCGTAGCTGGCTCCTGATCAGTAAGTCCTGTCCTATAAGCCTCTCTGTAAGTCATGGGGATAGAAACAGAATGTCACTAGAAAGTCAGCTTAGCTGAGAAGAGCAGTGCACATCTTTAATCCCAGCACTCAGGAGGCAGAGGCAGGTGGATCTCTGAGTTTGAGGCCAGCCCAGTTTACATAGTGAGTTCCGGGTCAGCCAGGGCTACACAGTGAAGACTGTCTCAAAACTAGATAATAAATCGTCTTAGGTAAATAAATATCTAGATAATAAAATATTCTCTCTCTTCCTAGTTGTGGGACCCTGGGCAAGTCAGTCTCAGTACCTCATTTCCTCCCTTCCGATGTAGCAATTAATAATAAACACGTGGCATGGTGTGCACATGCATGTATACACACAAATAAAACAAGTATACCGAAAAGAAATTAAGAGGAAGTTATGGTAATAACTGTTATGGTAATAATCTGAGTAGTTGTTGAATGCTGGCCCTGAGAGTCAGTTATAGCTTTGTTTCTTTTTCCTTTGTTTTGTTTGTTTTTTGAGACAAGGTCTCATTATGCAGCCTTGAATGGCCTGGAACTCACTATGTAGACCAGGCTGGCCTTGAACTCATGCCTCCTGAGTGCTGGGACTGAAGGTGTGCTGGCACCAGGCTAGGCTAGACATAGCTACTTTATTTATTTATTTATTTATTTATTTAAAGATTTATTTATTATGTATACAGTGTTCTGTTTGCATGTGTCCCTGCAGGCCAGAAGAAGGCACCAGATCTCATTACAGATAGTTGTGAGCCACCATGTGGTTGCTGGGAATTGAACTCAGGACCTCTGGAAGAGCAGTCAGTGCTCTTAACCGTTGAGCCATCTCTCCAGCCCAAGACATAGCTACTTTAAATCCTTTCCTAATGTCAAATTCTCCAGAAAGCCTTTCCCAGAATCAGTCCTTTGACTTTCAGTTCCGAACAAGATAAACAAAGTCTACTGACTTCATTTAAAAGTATATACTTTTTCTTTTCTTTCTTTTTTTTAAGTTTTGAGGACATGTGGGGGTATTGCTTAGTTGGTAGAGTGCTTGCTTGACATGAAGTAGGCCTGGTTCAATCCTCAGAACACAAAAAAGAGCATAAATTTATTTTGGCTCATGATTTTGGTCCAAAGTCAAGGAGACACATACGATGACAGCCTTTTCCCTGGTAGAGTCCGTAAGACAATACAGGGTATTACATGGCAACATGTAAGGAAGCCACACATGTGGGACAGTGTGTGTGTGAAGGGTCCGATTTCTATGGCTTTTTAGTTCATTTACAGAGTTGGTCACCCTAAAAAGAACCTCATGTCATTTGTAACCTCTAGCCTTTCTTTCTTTCTTTCTTTCTTTCTTTCTTTCTTTCTTTCTTTCTTTCTTTCTTTCTTTCTTTCTTTCTTTCTTTCTCTCTCTCTCTCTCTCTCTCTCTCTCTCTCTCTCTCTCTTCTTTCTTTCCTTCCTTCTCTCTCTCTCTCTCTCTCTCTCTCTCTCTCTCTGGTTTTTCAAGACGGTTTCTCTGTGAAACAGTCCTGGCTGTCCTGGAACTCACTCTGTAGACCAGGCCGGCCTCGAACTCACAGAGATCTGCCTTCCTCTGCCTCCTGAGTGCTGGGATTAAAGGCGTGTGCCACCACCGTCCGGCTTCTAGCCTACTTTCTATCTCTAGATATTTGCCTTTTCTGAACATTTCATATTAGAATCATTAAAATCTGTGGTCTTTTGTGTCTGTTTGTCCTCACATAGCATGTGCATAAGGCCTAATCATGTACCAGTTTATCTGCTGTATTGTCAAACAGTATTCTACTATATGTATATACCCAATTCTGTTTATCCCTTATATTTAAATGATTTTTTTCTCACTAATATGTGTAATGCTGCTACGAACATCTGTGTGCACATTTTTGTGTGAATCTGTTTTCATTTCTCCTGAATAGGTGCCCATAAGTAAACTTGCTAGCTCATATATTAACACTGTGTTTAACATTTTAAGAATTTTATGGCCTGTGAATTATATTTTAATAGTGCCATTATAAGAGGAAAGGGGGGAGGGAAGAAAGAAAAATTCCTAAAAATGCTGGCAGTCATTTAGAGTAACTCTGTATTCTTTAAATTCCAGGAATAAACAAATTATTTTCCTAATAGGAAGTAGTAACTTTATACATTGTTGGAAATGCCTGGAAACCACAGGCCTCACCCCACTCAGCCCCTGCTGACAATCTTCAAAGGCACGTGCACTCACAGGTTGGTGGATGGCCCTTGTCAAAAACTGCAGATTCTGGCAGCAGGTAGATCCAAATCAAAGGATCTTCCAGAAAAGGGCTGTCTCCCATCCCTTGGTGAACTCTTCTGATACCTTCCTGGACAAATGCAAAGTCGCAGCTGTGCCCCTGGAAAACAGTAAGAGAGAGGGAGAGGAGCAAGTGGGAGGGGGGAGGCTCCTGTGAGCCAGGCTCCCCTTCCGACAGGCTCAGGCTGCATGCTAGGCCCGGCATTCAGAGACAACTGTGAAGCTCCAGCTTTCACCTCCACAAACACAGGATGTGGAAAATCTAGAGTTCTCACACGCTCAGGGTGGAACTAGGAAATGGTGTGTTTATACTCTAAAAGTTTAGTAATTTCTTCTTCTAGGGAAGGAGGGATTAGAGGAACGAGACACCTTAGCACCTCTCAAAAGCGTCAGGTAGCAGCGTATTGGAGTGAATCTTGGGGCGCACATGCGCACGTGATGCTGTTAAGCAAGGCTTAGCCATGAAATCAAAACCCCATGCAGTCGTTTGCACTGAAGAAGGCAGCCAGAGATCGCAGCTCAGCAGAAAAAAACCCTTCATGTTGACAACCATATTGGTGTCTCAACTGAGACTTACTGTTGATACTAGACTGTTACGTAATCTCACACACCAATAAGTGTTTGTATCTCAGATCTGCATTTGACAGACCATTTCCTATATCACGTCTTGCTTGTATCTCTAATTGGAAACAAGACCCAGACACCAACACAAGAGTATGGCCAGAGACCATATGGTGTGGGGGGCTTCCTGCTGGTTAGGACGATATGAGTCCTCACATTTTCCAAACCTGTCCATCTGCTATTTCAACTGCAATTACGTCCACTGGAGCTCATTTTCAACCAGCTTGCACGTACTTAGAAAAACATATGTCTAAATTTATGGAATGCAATTTAAACGAACTGGTAAACTCGGTCTGCGGGCCTTGAAAGAGAAACTTTGTGCAGAACAAACACTAGCTACAAAGGAGCTCCCACTGGAACTGTTGGGGAAGACTTGACAGTTAGGGAAGGCCACAGGGAAGCACTGGAACAGGAAGTGATAAACCAGTCGCTGTACAGAGTATCAAATATGTAAGTATGCTGAACTTTCTGGTGACGACCATCTACGCTGAACTGGAAGGTACAGAGTGGTGGACTGTATACTTTAGGAATCAGTACACATGTATTTTCCAAGCAACCTCACTAAACTATACAAAAGGGGTTCTTTGAGGAGCTCTATGTAATAATTTTTTTTTTTTTTTGAGACAGGGTTTCCCTTGTAACAGTCCTGGCTGTCCTGGAACTCTCTTTGTAGACCAGCCTGGCCTCAAACTCACAGAGATCTGTGTGCCTCTGCCTCCCGAGTGCTGGGATTAAAGGCATGCATCACCACCGCCCAACTTTCAATAAAATTTCTACAAAGTATTTTTATTTGTCAACCAATTCGCCTCCCTTCCTCCCATCTCTCTCTCCCAGTGCTGGGCTCAAACCCAGAATCTTAGAAAAAGCACAGCAAGTGCTCTACCACTGAGCGAGGACCCCAACTCCTAAAAAAGACTGAGGTTTTTTTTTTTTTTTTTTTTGGTTTTTCAAGACAGGGTTTCTCTGTGTAGCTTTGTGCCCTTCCTGGATCTCGCTCTGTAGGCCAGGCTGGCCTCGAACTCACAGAGATCCGCCTGGCTCTGCCTCCCGAGTGCTGGGATTAAAGGCATGCGCCACCACCGCCCCGCCTAGACTGAGGTTTTTATATAAAAAAAATACTGTCTTTTTTTAAAAAAATCATGTATGTGTGTGCATTTGTGGTGTATGTGTGTGTACATGCGTGTGTGTGCGCGTGCATGCATGTGTGTGTGTGTGTGTGTGTGTGTGTGTGTGTGTGTGTGTGTGTGTGTGTATGTGCGCGTGTGCGTGTGCACGCAACTTCAGTGTTGGCTCCTGCTTTCCATTTTGTTTCAGACAGGGTCTCTTGTTCACCACTGAGCACACCAGGCTAGCCGGCCTGAGAGCTTTCGAAGAGTCTCCTGACTCCACCTCCTATCTTCTCTGCACAGGTACACAGGAGTACAGGTGTGTGCTACTGTGTGCCATTGTGTCTGGCTTTACATGGATCTTGAAGTGTGACAAGTGCTATACGCAGAGTCACCTCCCCAGTTAGTTCATTTATTAATGATTGGTACAAGGTCTTGCTATATAGCCCAGGTTAGCCTCGAACTCACAGTCCTCCTGCCTGAGCCTCCTAGGTGTTGGGATTACCAGATATATACCACCACATCCGACTGGCTTTTTTTTTTTTTAATGTGTATGAGTGTTTTGCCCACACGTATGTACATGTATCATGTGCATGCCTGGTGTGCACAGATTAGAACAGGGTGTCGGATCCCCTGGAACTGGAGTTACAGATGGTAGTGAGCCATCATGTGGGTGCTGGGAATTAAACCTACATGTTTATTGAGAGAGCAATAAATGCTCTAAATTACTGAACCATCTCTCCAGCCTCTGGCTGTCTTTGTTTTAAAGATGACCATAAAATAAAACTGTTTCACTTCCGGGGGAGGGAGCATAAGAGATAATCACTTCATACCCACTAGGATGGCTACCATCAAAAGAACTGACACTGGTCTACCAGATGGCTCAGTGGGAAAAAGTGCCTGTTGAAGAAGCCCCCCGATGACGTGAGTTTGGTCATAGAGTCCCACACTGGACAGAGAGAACTGACTCCAAAAGTGGTCCTCTGACACACACACGCAGACCGACACTCTCTCACACACACATATTCTCTCTCTCACGCACAAATAATAAAGAAAATATTCTTTAAAAATTGGCATTAGTGAGAGCTGATGAGAGTTTAGAGAAATCTGAGTACTCAGTACTTCTGGAGGGAGTGGAAACCGGTGCAGCCACAGTGAGAACCAGTCGGTGACTTTACAAGGGAAACGCAGAACTATCCTAAGACTTGACAGTTCTAGTTACACACTTAAGAAATGAAACTGACGCTGATTACACCTGTAGTCCCACTGCTTTAGAGGTGGAGGCGGGAGGATCAGGAGTTCAAGGTTATCCTCAGCTACACAGTGAGTTTGAGGCCAATCTGGGCTACACGAGACCATCTCAAAAACTCCAGATGTGAGGAGGGCACACGCACCACACACACAACCAGTGAGATGGCTCAGAGGTAAATGCCTACCGACAAGCCTGCCAACCTGAGTTCAATCCCTGGGACCCACATAGTGTAAAGAGACAACCGACTTCTGCAAGATGTGCTCTGACTTCTACGTATGCACCAAGGCACATGAGCAACTCATACACTAGTAAACGTAATAACAAATGTTGCCGGACGGTGGTGGCGCACGCCTTTAATCCCAGCACTTGAGAGACAGGCAGGTGGATCTCTGTGAGTTCGAGGTCAGCCTGGTCTACAGAGCGAGTTCCAGGACAGCCAGGGCTACACAGAGAAACCCTGTCTCAAAACAAAACAAAACAAAAACAAAAAAAAAGAAAAGAAAAGAAAAAGAAATAAAGAAAAGTTTGTAGTTGATTGGTCTTTGGTCTTTTGGGGGGGCCCACCACCCAGCTCCCATATAAATCATACAGAGGTTTATTTTTAATTTTAAGCATCCAGCCTTAGCTTGGCTTGCTGCTAGCCAGATTTACTTAACTAGCTTTTGCCTTTGGGCTTTTACCTTTCTCTATTTCTGTGTACCTTTCATTATTTCTTACTCAGTGGCTGGCTGTGTAGCTGGGTGGCTGGCCCCTTGTGTCCTCCTCCTTCTCTGGCTCCTTCTTTTCTCCTCCCAGATTTCTCCTTCTATTTATGCTCTCTGCCTGCCAGCCTCACCTATCCTTTCTCCTGCCTTGCTATTGGCCGTTCAGTTCTTTTTTGTTTGTTTATTTGTTTGTTTTTGAGACAGGCTTTCTCTGTGTGGCCCTGGCTGTCCTGGAACTCACTTGGTAGGCCAGACTGGCCTCAAACTCACATTGATCTGCCTGTCTCTGCCTCCTGAGCGCTGGAATTAAAGGTGTGCACCACCACCGCCACCAGGCAGCCATTCAGTTCTTTATTAGACCATCAGGGGGGCTGGACAGATGGCTCAGAAGTCAGGTATTTTAGACAGCCATAGTAACACAGCTGCACAGAGTTAAATAAATGCAACATAAACAAAGTGACACACCTTAAAAAAATTCTACAACAAAAGTTAAATATACATACTAAATAAAATATAATAAAAATATTAAATTATGCCGGGCGGTGGTGGCGCACGCCTTTAATCCCAGCACTTGGGAGGCAGAGCCAGGCGGATTTCTGTGAGTTCGAGGCCAGCCTGGTCTCCAAAGCGAGTTCCAGGAAAGGCGCAAAGCTACACAGAGAAACCCTGTCTCGAAAAACCAAAAAAAAAAAAAAAAAAAAAAAAAAAAAAAAAAAAAAAAAAATTAAATTATATATATATATTTATACATGATAACTTGTGAATGAGAAGTAACACACAAAAAGTGGAAACTCATATATGAAAGACTTCATATTATATGAGTGCATTAATATGAAATGCCCAAAAGAAATATATTTCTAGACAGGGCATACAGCTCAATGTGAATTGATTTCCTAGCATACATGAGGTGCTGGGTTTGGTCCCCACACAGCAACAAAGAGATAAGCAGCAAAAGCCAAGTGTGGTGGCCTATACCTATGATGCTAGCACTTAGGAAACGGAGGCAGGAGGGCTGCCATGAGTTCAGGCCTAGCACGGGCTACATAGTGAGTTCCAGATTGAGAGTGTCTTGAAAAACAGAATCAGAAAAACACAGAACTTAAATGCAGAGGCCCAACAATAGAGCAAAAGGAACAATGGAGAGTAGAAAACTCTTGAAGAAATAATGATCCAGACTTGGCAGTACCTGTGAAGGAAGACTACAAGAACTGTTCTCTCCCTAAAGGTCACTAAAATGACAGAACAACAATGGACTAAGACACTGGCAAGAAGATGAGAACACACAAGAGATGCTATAAAAAAATAGGAAGGTTGAGCCAGCCGTGATGGCACACACCTTTAGACCCAGACTCAGAAGGCAGAGGCAGGTGGATCTCTATGATTCAAGGCTGGTCTGGGCTACAGAGTGAGTTCTAGGCCAGTTGGGCTACATAGTGAGATCCAATCAATCAATCAATCAATCAATCAATCAATCAAATTTGGAAAGTACAGATAGGAGGCCAGAGAGCCAAATTCTAAGCCAGCAAGAAACAAGCTGTTGCGTGAATACGCAATGCCCCCATCGGCTCCCATGTTGAAGGCTGCATGGGGAGGTGATGCAGACTGAGGAGGCGGAGCCTATCTGGAGGAGGTAAGTCACTGGGGGATACCCTGGAAGGATCTACCTTCTTCACAGCCCCTTCCTGTCTGCCCACTTCGGGCCGCCATGAGATGAGCAGCTCTGCTCGACATGCCCTTCCATCATGATGCTCTCCCTTGCCACAGGCCCACAAGCCACAGCCAGGCAACCATGGGCTACAGCCTATGACGTCATCAGCCAAGATCTGTCCCTCTTTTAACCAGTTGTCTCAGGTGTTTTTCACTGTAACAAAACTCTAGCTAACACAATAAACACAATAAAAAAAAAAAAAGCTTAGAGCTGAAAGGCCCTGAAATCAGAGGCATAATGAGCTCTCAGAATGCTAACAATCAAGCTTATATTTAATAAGCAAAGAAAGGACTAGAAGATTGCTCTCTAGAGAATGGAGTAGGCCAAGACAAAAACATACAAAGTAGTCATATTGGGGAATCCTCCCTTAGGAAACTGCCAGGACCCAGCCTCTTCACCACAATAAAAGCCACTGGCTGACAACCCCCTCTCCCTGGGACCTTCAATTAGCATTTTATTGCTTTCCCTTTTGTTAGTTTTTGTTATTGTTGCTGTGTAATGTGTATCTGTGAGTGTTGGCGT